GATTGGAAACAGAATATCATATAAATGTAATTCAAAGTTGGGAATTAATTGTAACACTTTTTTTTTTAATCAATGTTCCACATGGGTTTAATTTATGCTCTGCACATGGTCAAATATTTTTGGTGGAGGCATGCTTGAATTATTTTCATAATTAAAAATTGTTATTTTTTAAATAAAGTTCTGTAAATAAAAATTCTGAAATTTTACATGGATTTGTGTATTCTATTGACCCTTAAAAAAAGTAACTAGAATGTTTATACATTATGTGATCAATAAATTCTGTATATATACCCATTATGAGCTAACTTAAAAAAAATTAACTAGAATATTTATACATTATCTGATCTTGTAAAAATATATGTTTATTAATTTAAAAACAAACTTAATTTTCTCTAAAATTTCAATTTTTTAGTCGATATTTTTTAATTCACCCATATCCAAATAATTAAGTAAACAACAATAATTTTTGTTAATTTATATTTATATAAACACAAGAACTTTTCTCAACAAAAATATTTTGTTCAGTGTTTTCATAGATTTAATTCCTTAATAATTTCAAATTTAAAAACAATTATGTAAAAAGGATGTCAAACATAATTGAGTTTTTGTTACGGAAATGAATTCAAACTTCTTAAATTTCTCAATATACATGATATAAGATTGAAACATGTATCATGAAATTAATAGTTTAATTGTATGGATGTCTATAAAGATAGTACAGAATATATTATTTATTTTCCAGTTCATAGAAAAATAAATATCCATTTATTAATAAAGAAGTATGGAAAATAGCATGCATGTATTTTAATGACATGTGGAGAACTCTCTTGTGTATAGGGTGCCTTGTTTGCATTGTATAGATCCACCATTTCAGGTAATCAACAGTGATAATTATTAGGAGTATAATCAAGTTTTCAGTGATTAACTTGTGTATACACAAGGTACACAAGACTGGTTACACCATACCTTAGGTATATAAACAAAAGTAAATCTGAAGGTTAGTGAAAAAATATACCTGGTATAATGTAATAATTATTAATAAACTTATACATGTATAATTTTTCTTGTATTATTTACATACAAGTATAAACATTAAATTGTGTCACTATGTTTAGCTGGATACTGTGAATTAAATGAATTAAATATTTTTTACAAAAATACCTGAAGCTGACCCATTTTTCCCCATAATTCTACATAATGGTACTTTCAACATTTCTACAGATCATGCTGCTAAAGATGGGCAATAATTTTGAATGCTGTTAAAAAAATCGTATATAACCCATTCTTTCCTGCATCAATGAATCATAAATGACACCTGCCATTGGTAAAATTAATACATAGCATAAATTAAAACATGTTTGAAAAAGTTGGCCAAGGGTTATCACATATTAACATTAAACTCAATTGACTGGAAACTGATTACCTCAAATAAATTTATTTACTATTCCTGTGAGAGAAAATTAATCAGTGCTGAATTTGTAAATTGTAATAAACTTGCATGAGAATGGATTTTGATTTTTTTTTTTAAAGTATTAATGAATTTATACAGATACGAATTAAAACATTACATGTACCTGTAATTGTGTACCAAAATATTTATAGTTTTAAGATTGATGCAATGAATCAAACAACACTTATTAAAAAATTAAGTTAAATATTACAATCAAATGCAGCAAAACTGTTATGTACTTGAGAAACTATCAAAACATAAGTATTAAATCAAAAGATTACATAGGTCATCTTGATGTACAAGTCAACTAAATGTTATTTATAAGTACAACATTAAAGTCTAACCTTTATAAATATTAGGGTAGTAATTAGTGCAAGATTTAAACATGTTTGGTCTGTGTAGCAGTGGCAGATCCAAAGGGGGGGGGGGGGGTATCAGGGATTTGCAACCCCCCATCCCTTTTGGATTTGCTAACAAGAGACACATAGACAGAGAGAGAGAGGGGGAAGGGGGGGAGACCCAATTTTTTGTTGTGTTTTTACGATAGAAATTGTTCAGTGAAAGGCTAATGTAGTAATGTATGAATAAATTTGGTTGCTGAAAGAAAATGCCCCCCCCCCTTACAAATTAGGATTTTCGGGTTCGGAGGGTTTTTTCCTTTAATTTTTTTTAACAAAAATTTTCAGGAAATCCATATTTTTTCCCTGGCTTCCTTCACCCTCACTTTTGAAAACGCTTCTATGCCCATGTATCCTATTAAGTTGTTAAACTATTACTGTATGTATATGTATGTTATAACAACCCTTTTTCCTCTTCACCCCCCCCCCCCCCCCTTGAAAAGTTTCTAGATCCGCGCCCGTGTAGGATGTTTTAAAAGGTATGTACTACATGTAATATATAGGCATGGGCTTGCTCCAAATCTTTTTTGTTAAATCACACTGTTCAATCATACAGAAAAATGTACTAAGATTCAGCAACCAAACCATATAGATCTGCATGTGTACATTCCTAGAGGTATCATTCATGCAAGATTGATCACCACGGGGGGCTTACAGTTACTTCAGCTAGAATGAAACCTGCACAAAAAAAAAAAGAAAAAAGAAATAATTCTGGTCACTCAACCAAAAAATGTAGGTCAGATCCAGCATCTGAAGCAAGTGTGGTAGTATACATGTACAACCTTATAGATGCATGATCCATGCAAGTTAAGTCACCGAAAGGCTACTTGGGCTGGGTACAATAATACCGATATTCTGGTGTATAGTGGTACATTGACAAAAATTATCCTATTGCATAAAATTTATTTATTTAGGTTTTATGACCCTTTCATGCATGAGTTATATTTTTTTATGCATAAAGTTTTGTAAGTTATAGCCATCATACTGCAAAACTTTTAGGATGATTTACTGTTGTATTTTCTTTATTCAGGTTAATAATAACATTTAATAATAATAAATTATACACTTGTTTCATTTATATAGCAGGTAACACAGATAAATTGACAATTTGACTGAAATCGTGAGTGAAAAATTCTTATCAGATTGGCTGAAATTTTTGGGTAGATGACCATAATATGATCATTAACTTGTACACAGTGAATGCAAATAAACCTCAGAAAGACTTAATATCTAACTTACAAATGCATATGACATTTATTAAGTTTGAATGAGGTGTCATTGGTGTACGCTTGGGGTACATCCTTTGAATCCTCTAATTTGTGTATTGAATTAAGCAATAAACAGATAATGATCAATGTAATTAAGAAATGCACATAAACCTATTTTCATTTATTAAAGCTGAATTGGATGTTATTGAAATAGCTCAAATTTATTGGGATACTTAAGGGTATTATTTGGATACCTAGAGTTTCCTTAATTGGGGTTCTTGGTATCCTTTTGTGTATTAAAATATGCAATAAACAGTTACTAAGTTATTTACAAAAGCATTAAAACCATTTTTAGATTTATAAAGGTCAAACTGGTTGTCCTTGGGATATTTTGAGATATTTTGGGGGTTACCCTGGGATGTCCTTGTGGTAACTGAAGGCTATCCTTTGGTTCTTATGTGGGTATCATTTTATTTTGTGTATTGCACTATATACAATAATCAGTTACTATGTCATTTACAAATGCAAATATAAACCATATTTACATGTACATTTTTTTAAATAGTTAAATAGGGTGTCATTGAGATATTCCTAGGGTACCCTTGGGTATTCTTGTGGTACCTTAAGCCTAGGGTATTCTTTGGGTTTATGTGAGTTTCCATTGGTTCTGTGTATTGAAATACACCATTCATAGTTACAGGATTATTTTTTTCACACCATATAAAATATTATTAAAGTTCCTCAAAACTATACATGCATAATTGAGCTTAATTGTTTAAGTATACTACTTTTAAATTTTTATCTTGGATAACTGCTCTGTTTAGGACAATTAAAGTGTTAATTTGCCCTTCAAAAACATTTTTTTGTAGTTTACAAGTGCATATAAACCATATTTAGAATAATTAAGGATGTATATGGTGTCCCTGGGGTACCTTGTGGTATCCCTGGGGTTCCTTGTGGTTCCTTGTGGTACCTTGTGGTTCCTTGTGGTAAAAAGACGCACCCTGTAGCGGACAGTACACAGGGAACTTATATACTGCATCGCTAGTGAACTAGCTTCAGGCCCGTAGGAAGTAATTTCATTTGGGGGGGGGGGGGGGGCACAACCATACATTTTCAGTTGGGGGAGGGGGCACTATCAACTACCAAAAATTCCTTGACAAGCAAAAAAAAAAAGGTCATCAGACGTTTTTATTAAGGGGGCACAAGCATATAGTAGGCCTAGCTATGTTTTCTATAATAATCTATATATCGGCAAAATTTGGGGGGAGGCACCCCCCCCCCCTAGTTAGAATAATCTAACTGTGTCTCGGGACAAGCCCTCACCGGGTCCGTAGGACAATATCATTTTAACGATAGAACATTCTATCTACCCCCCCCCCCCGTGCCCCCGGTTCCTACAGCCATGAGCTTTTCTAGCGATGCGGTAGAGTCTCCCTTAATCAGTTAATTTCGGGCACAAGTTCATTTCAGATCAGGAATTCCCTCCTATATATAAGGAGCACCCGAGAAGGTGGTGTCATAAAAAGACGATAGAAAATTAAAATTTAAAATAATAATGTGATGAAAAACAGTTATTAGAACCTAATCTAATATTGTACGGTAAAAATAAAATTAGGAGTGATAGACAAACTGAACTTAAAAAAAATATAAAAGGAGAAAGTAATTACACACTGTACAGTAGCTTTCCTTATAAAATTGTTTTTACATTATTTACCTCGTTTACAGCATCTCTTAGATTTTGCCCTGAAGTTGGTTATTCTTCAACAAAACCTGGACACTGGGAGAATGTTCCTTGTTTGATAAGATTCACTCCCTCCCTAGTCCCTATACAGTGTAAAACTATTTAGCACCCTAAAATCGCTCGCTTTCTTAATAATGACTCTAACGGGAACCCATACTCAGTGACAATATTGCGCCAAATAGCGTGGACGGAGGGAAGGCCTGGACGGAGTAATGGATATCATTCGGTCAATGTTTACATTCGCACTGCCATTGCAAGAATGGCTCAAATCCTTTGGAAGTGTATGCACAGAAGGTGATTCCAATAGGTATAATGATCTTAAATGGGTATCATCATGGCTATTATATACCCCGTTCCCCGGCGATACAGTTTAATGACCCTCTGTACACTGCACACTTACAAGCACTTGTTTCATATAGTATAGTTTACTGCATACTACATCAAACAAGTGTCTGTGTGCACACTCGAGAGTTCCAATATTTCCATGGTACTTTAATATTGGACAGGTCTAGGCGGCCTCCGTTTTCGGAGGATAGCCAAAATTCAATATGACAACTAGGCCTAAATTCTTTCCTTCTTTATATGGTAAATTCGCAATGCATTGTGGGTAGTTATCCTCCATTTGTGGAGGATAACACAGGTAATTTTCAAAAGCCTGAGGCCTCGTGCTTAACTTTAGTGAAAAAGTGCGTGAAAAATAAAATTTCGTACATAATTTTATGTGGCGATTCTATATATTTAGTTTTACAATTTATTTTTCGAAGTTTGCCCTTTTTAGCATTCTATTATTATTGCAAATTTCCTTTTCCATTGCTTTATATTCCTTTTTTTTTTTTAAACAAAAAGGTTAAAGTTTTTAAAAAATTACTTTAGGTATTTTCTTTCAATTTTAACAAGAGAAAGAAAGGAAACATGGATGGAAGCGTATTGAAATGCAAAATACTGCCCTATGATATAAATTTAAAAAATGACTAGGAATGAGTAAATGAATAAATAAAGGATAGAATGAATAATTTGAAATGCATAAATGAAATGAAATATAGTTACAAAAAGAAATTAATAATATACATAAATGAGGGGTCTGAATTTTTAAAATTCCAAATTCCAAAAGTCAATGTCACTTGTGTCATCATCCTGAATTCACAGCAGCTGGTATCATTTTGAGAATAAATTGATCAGATATTGATTCTTCAAATAGGGATAAGATTTCGCTCCAGTCCTCCATAAGTGCTTTCCTCAGCTCGGTGGTGGCATTTGAAAATAGGATATTGAAGTCAAATTCATCAATCCATTTCATCCCATAATTGCTCAGCTGGAGACGGTTTGTGACTAAATGGTGCCTGTAAGGTGATCATCATGTGGAAATCTTGGCACACCTTAGCAACTCGCATTCTTTCATGTGGATCATGGCTTTACAAGAATGGCCTGTATACTACAAGGCCTGCCTGTATGAGATTATTGCCTACAGTTTTCTCTCTGATTCTGGCATCGTGGCATCCAGGAATGTTATTACCAGTTTCATTTGCAGTTTTGAAACCGGTTGCCTCGGTGGATTAAACAGATTTCTCTGTCCAGTTCATGTTGCCCCCTGAAGACGTCTGCATCTTGGAACAGTTTTAACACTTCCACCTGACATGCATCTTTATTTTAGCAAAGACACAGTGGATTGGGACACATTAAATTGCTCAGCAATTTCATTCTGATGATGTCTTTGCATAAGTAAGACAATAACCAGACTTGTTAGAATTTCAGTAAGATATGGCATCTCTTAGGGTCAAAATATGTTCAAATTCTTACCGGACTTTTTTCAAATCAACGGAGATTGCAAAAATGGTTCAACTTCCCAAATTCCAGCTACATGACTTTCAACCCAAAGCCCAGAGGCAAACTACTTGTGCTCACGTTGAGCTTGCCAGAGTCATGGTTTAGTGATTTTCTATCACATACCCATTTCTGAACATTATTTAGAGTCCAAATAAAAACTAGCTATTTTAATCACGATTATAGATGCCATTGTAGTAGATCAATCAAAAATATGAGTTCCTTTATCCTTTCAGTATATTATAAATTGAAGAGAGGGGCATGAACAATGTTTGATTTTTAGAGTATTATTATACAAATTAACAATTACTGCTGTTTTTGAGGTCAATACAATGATTTAGCCACCTTAGCCAAATAGGAGTACAACATTCACTGAGTGGGAAGGGATATTGCACATGGAGCCCGACGGAATATTGTACTCCTCAGATGGCTAAATCATTGTATTGACTTGCTGAAAAAAACAGCAATAATGGTTTTATTACATGATTCAAGGATTAAATGATGAAAACTCATTAAGCAGACCATGCCATCTTGTTTACATTTGATGAAGTCTTTGCAAACGCAGTGAGAGAAGTGGGACTAAAAAACATAACCAGTTTATGTGGAAATTTCGAAATCTTGTTTTGGTGCGATGTAGAAAAAATAATTGTCAGGCACGTAGCATCGATTTTAAAAGGGGGATTATACGGGTAAAAAATACATTAACTGAAAAATCTGGTTTTGGGGGAGGGTGTAAAGGTCCATTAATTTAGGGTGGATTTCTTACAATATAATACTGTATCAAAAAGTTGGGGGCCAACCAGACTTTCAACGAACACCTTTAAACTAAATTTATAGCAAAAATTTACATTCAGAAAAAAAGTGGGGGTGTTCATCATATACTTCTTTAATTTTCCAGCTATTTACGGAATTTGGAAACAACCATTGTAGCTTTCAATGTGGATGTGCGGGACAAACTTGTAATCACTTCCTCTCCACCCTCAGAGACAAAAGAACTCGTACTGAGAGTGATTGAGGTTAGCATATGTCTTCAATTGGTTAAAGGATCTCCAAAGTTGATGCTAAAGAAAAAAATGATATGCCAGCTTTCCTTTAAATGCAGAAAACTTTTGTGAACTTAATGATGGCAGAAAAATCAATAAAATTTGCAACATAAAATTGTCATAATTTTGAGTTGCAATTAAAAAAGAAGTAACAGAAGAAAGTTGGTTGATATTTTGCAAAAGGGTTAAAATACAGGATGAAAATTAATATACAGATGTAAAAATATACGAGAGAATATCTATTTTTCAGAAATTGCTGCGTCAAGGTGAGACTAACGTCTTAACCCTGGGATTTGGAATGGTAAGAAGTTTAGTCTGAGATGATATTTTCATTGATGAAAAAGCTTGTATACACTTTAAAAATGCATTATTGAACCCAATTTGTTTATGTCAGTTTCTTATCATTGCTACTCCTACATTTTTACCTCAAGTCAACGAAGTCAGGGAAAGCTAATGCTATACCATCAGCATCAGTATATCCTAGGTTTCTAAGTAACTCTGTGTCCTATATTGAGTTGCCTGGATGATGCTTCTAGTATGTTTCATTGTACCAGTCAGGCTTCAAATGCTGTATTTACAACCAATACTCTCTAGAAGACTTACGACGGCTGTTAGGAAATTATTGAAACATTTACTTCTACTCCATAAAGAAAAAGCGATAAATTCATGAAAAATTCAGCAACATTTTATCAAGAACAAATAAAACAGATGTGCAAAGCATTAATTCTTCTTTCTCTGTCATCACATATAACATTCTAGAAATCAATCTTTTCTTTTCTTAAACGATTCTTAATAAGAATAAAACAAAATGTTTGTTGTTGGTACCCCAATGTTGAAGTACATAAATGCCATATACAGGTTGACTTAGCATTATTAGACATATTTATTGGCATTGTTATTGTACCCCACGCAACAAGCGGGAGGTATGATGTTTTTGACCCCTCAGTCCTGTTTTTTTGTCAGCACAACTCCTTTTAAACCACTGCACAGAATTTCGTCAAACTTTGCAAATATTTAGGACAGTGCAGTGTGTAGTTGTGCATATTACCTGGAAATACTGATTCCATTATTTTTATGCCCCCCTTCAAAGAAGGGAGGGCATATTGCTTTGCTCCTGTATGTCGGTCCACCAACAGTTTCCGTTCATTTTCTTCGCATAAGTTGCACATATTGAAATGAAATTTGGTATACAGATTAATCATAAGAATATCTAGGTCAAGTTCTGTTTTGGGTACGATCAAGCAATTTTTGACAGAGTTATGCCCCTTGGACTTAGGAAAAGCATAAGTGTTTCACAAACATTTCTTGTTCTGGGAATTTCGGCACTTTTCAACTTAGATTTTTGGCCATATCTTGAATATAGAGATGAACAGCTTGTCAGCGCAACTCCTCTTAAACCCTGCACAGAATTTGGTCAGACTTTGCAGATATTTAGTACACAGTGTGTAGATGTGCATATTACCAGGAAATTCCGATTCCATTATTTTTCTGGGAATTTCAGCACTTTTCAACATAGATTTTTGGCCATATCTTGAATACAGAGATGATGTCAGCACCACTCCTCTGCGCAGAATTTCATTTTGTCAATTTTTGCAGATATTTAGGACACAGTGTGTAGATGTGCATATTACCAGGAAATTCCGATTCCATTATTTTTGGCCTTAGAATTTTGGCTATTATTGAAGAAACTTTTCTGCTACATAAAATAAGGAAATCCACTGGAATTAGCTTGTGATGAAATTTTATGTGAAATATTTTATGACCTTAAAAGACCCCTATTGATTTTTTAGATCAAAATATGAATAATTCAACACACATACACACAAAATCTTGGATAGATGTACACAAAAAGTTCTCCCCTCCCCCTCCCCCCTCACAAACCTCAAATAAGTGCTTTGTCTTAAATAATTTCATAGTACAGCATATAAACAAATTTATATGACTACATCATAATTTTGTTTCCATCAATTATTTAAATGTAAATTTTTATACATTGGACATGGACTTACACTCATTAACAAATCAAAATCACTGAATTTCCTGAAACTTTGTAGGTATTTCAGACATAATGTATACATTTGTATATTACCAAGAAATTTTGATTCCATTATTTATCCAGAAACTTCGCCCAATTAAATTTGTAACATTAAAGATTTGAATGTTCTTAAATGCAAGAAGTTTTGATGTGATGATTTTTTGCAAGAAATGCCCCTTTTTGAATTATACTGTGTATTTAAAATGCACCATGCCATCCATAATGTGTTGAATTGTCAAGTTTTTGGGGAGCATGGGGTATGTGAGCTTGCTCAGTTTTTCTTTCATCGTTTTAGCAGGTCGTTTAGTCTGCACGAGTTCTCCTCAGCGCTATACAAAATTTTAGGGATGCTCACTGCGCCGTCTAGATGTCAAAATCCATTTTGTCATTGTAATCAGATTTTAATACTGTGCTTTATTTCTTTTATTATCTCCACATCTCTGGTCGAAATTCTTAGAAACTTGCATAAAATGAAGTCAAAACAAAATTTAAAAATTACATATCTGATTTCGTGATTGCGCTGATTACCCCATATCAACACATTCAACAAAATCAGCATTACTAGTTCCAAATAACAAACAAAAAGACAGTTATTCCCTAATTAAAGTAGGAATGCTCAGGTTATATCTGGGATTCATACTGCAGTAAAAACATGGTTCTAGCGAACACGCTTATGATAGTGATTTTCCTGTCCTAGTGTTTTCGTACATATTATAGACTTATCAGTTATAACAAATTACATTTATAATGAATCAGAATCATTCAGCTTTGGTATGTTTTACTGTATTATACATGCTTTTAATCTAAATTTCATAAATGAATGATGCTAGGTATTTATACAACTACAATGTAAAACAGAAAGTTTCATCATACAGAGGGTAATAGTGTTTATGAACAAATGTTTCTCGATGAATCAGATTCAACAAATTTACATGAAAATATGATATTTACGGTAATAACGTTTGTTTTCGGTAGATGTCGGATGACCCAGACGCTCAGGTTTCCTGTTTCACCAACATAGAATACAGACACCCTAACTCCAGTGTCAACTTACTACATCAAGGGGTGTGGAAAAGGCTACATCAGTGGTAAAATTAAACTATTGTGTTCAATTGATAGGAATATCTCAGTATGAATTGAATTAACATCTAATCTGATTTGATGAAATAGTAAGACCAAAGTGACAATTTTTATTTCTGATTTCTATTTCAAACAAGAGTGCCCTTGTACTAAATCCTGCAGCCTCATAAGTCTATGGATGATTTATATTTGTACAGTATAGGGGATGTCTGGATGAGGGCTCTGTTAGAAGAGACAGCCATATTTACATTGTGTAGTGAATCTTGCTATATCCAAGTTACAGGTAAGCTATTGCCTGTAATTAAAACTAGACAATGTTGATGTAGCCTTGACAAAATAATTATTAGCTGCTGCAGATAAAATTTTGGCTAGATTGTACTCAAAAGCTATTCCATACAGAAAGACATTCTTGGTCATACTTGTCAGCCTAACAGTAAATTTTATTTCTAGCTGTGGTACGTGTATGTAGCAATGAATATTCCCACTAATGATTATAGTGTACTAGTATTACTTGGCTTTGCATCGCTGTCTATGAAATTGATCAACCTGATATATTTCTGTAGACAGTCAGTAAAAAAACTAATACAGTTAAACCTGGTTATCTCAAATTAAATGGGACCAAGAAAAAACTTCCAAGATTTCTGGGGATTTGAGATATTCAGGTAAAATACTTAAAGAAAAGGGGTTGGAACTTCCAAATCACTTGTACATATCCATGGTATTCGACATATCAGTGTTGGAAATATCTAAGTTCAACTGTATGTGATTTATTTTCTTGAGGATCATAGTGTGAGAGATATAGACACAAGAAGTGATGATGAAGATTATTGAATTCAACATACTGTAGATCACCAAATTTAAGCCACACCTTAATTTCTCAATATAGCAATTTGTTATTTATAAGCGAGTTAAAACTTTCACAAATAATGGTTATTTTCAAATGGTATAATCTGAACAATACAAAACAAACATACATGAGAATAAAAATTTTTGCAAGCAGGTTGTCTCATGTATTACATGAATATAAAGTTCTCATGCACAAAAAGTTTTACATTAATTTAAATCTATTAAGTATCCAAACGTCTTGATCCTCAAGTCTCGTCCAAGTTCACACAGTCAAACTCTTCAAAATTATCAATCTCATCTTTTACAAACAAGTAATCTTGAAAAATCTTTGAGACACCTTTGTTCACTTTTAACTTTTTGTTGCTGTTTAATTTCAATTGTTTTCCCCTTTTGTTTGAACAAATAAGTGTTGCAGACACAACAAATCTGACAACATTTCTTAAAAGGGCTGCTACTCCAATTTAAAGAAGAAAACAGTGGAATACATGATTTGTACATCGAATTGAATTGGCAGACATAGAGATATAGCCGGCAGTCAGAAGTTATATTTATATTTAAATGTTTTGAAAACAACTTTCAGAATTGACCTTTATCTTTGTTAAAATTGGCATACAATACATTTTTAGCTCTTCTGAGCCAAAGGCTCAAAGAGCTAATGCTATGGCCATTTGTGCGGTGTGCGTAAACTTTTTAGAATATGGGCCATAACTCAAGAACCCCTCAGCCAATTACTGTCAAATTTGTCACAGGGTATTCTTGGCCCAAGGGCTCCCGTTCATACTAAAACTAGGGTTTTGACCCTTAAACAAGGGGAGATAATTAGGAAAATAGAAACAAAAGTACTGGTTGCTAAAAAATCTTCTTCTCAAGAACCACTGAGCAGATTATCACCAAACTTACACAAAAGGATGAGGATATGTTGTAGATTAAAATTTGCACGGGGAATTGCCCTGGGGCAAAGTGCGTGGTCTCAAGGTCACTTCAAAGATGACCTAGAATTACATTTTATTAAAATGTTGATATTTTGCTTACTATAAGGACTAGGATCATCAAATCTTGTCAGTTGATGCATCTAAGGACCTCATATCATGTCAACTCAAAAGTACCGGTAGGTCACGGTGACCTACTTTTTAAATTTTGTGGCCATTCTTTTTCAAAATGATCTAGAGGCATATTTTGAACAATTTAAGGCTGATGATCATCAAACTTTGTCAGTTGATGTATCTTGGGTCCTCGGAGTATGTCAACTAAAAAGTAGGTCACCTTGACCTACTTTTTGAATTTTTTGGCTAATCTTTTTCAAAACAACTAAGGTCATTAATTCAAATACTTAGAGGTTTAGAATCATTAAATCTTGAAAGATGATGCATCTTGGGGCCATAAAACATATTTATTAAAAAGTAGGTCACAGTGACCTACTTTCTGAACTTTGCAGGCATTCGATTTCAAAGCATTTTAGAGGCATAATTTGGACATTTTAAGGCCTATGATCATAAAACTTTTTAAGTTGATGCATCTTGGGTCATCAAAAAACTTCAACTGAAAAGTAGGTCACCGTGACCTACTTTTGAAATTTTATGGCTATATTTAAATATTTAGGGTACTATTTGGGTTAGAATCATCAATTTTTGTCAGTTGATGTATCTTGGGTCCTCAGAGTAGGTCGACTGAAAAGGAGGCCATTGTGACCTACTTTTCAATTTATCTGACTATAATTAAATATTTCGGGTACTAATTGGCTTAGAATCATCAAACTTTGTTAGTTGATGCATCTTAGGTCTTTGGAGTAAGTCGACTGAAAAGTAGGTCACTGTGACCTACTTTTTCAATTTATTTGACTATACCTAATTAAATATTAAGTTACTAATTGGCTAAGAATCTCCACACTTTGTCAGTTGATGCATCTTGGGTCTTCGGAGTAAGTCGACTGAAAAGTAGGTCACCCTGACCTACTTTTGAAATTTTATGGCTTTATTTAAATATTTCAGGAACTAATTGGCTTAGAATCATCAAACTTTGTTGGTTGATGCATCCTGGGTCCTTGGAATATGACAACTGAAAAGAAGGTCACCTTGACCTACTTTTGAAATTTTATGGCTGTATTTAATATTTTCGGGTACTATTTGGCTTACAATCATCAAAATTTGTCAGTTGATGTATCTTGGGTCCTCGGAGTAGGTCGGCTGAAAAGTAGGTCACTATGACCTACTTTTCAATTTATAATTAAATATTTTGGGTACTAATTGGCTTCGAATCATCAAACTTTGTCAGTTGATGCATGCTGGGTCTTCAGAGTAGGTCAACTGAAAAGTAGGTCACCGTGACCTACTTTTGAAAATTTATGGTTTTAATTAGATATTTTATGTACTAATTGGCTTAGAATCATCGAACTTTGTCAGTTGATGCATCTTGGGACCTAGGAGTACAAAAACTGAAAAGTAGGTCACCCTGACCTACTTTTGAAATTTTATTGTTTTATTTAAATATTTTTAGGTTCTAATTGGCTTAGAATCACCAAACTTTGTCAGTTGATGCATCTTGGGTCCTCAAAGTCTGTCATCTGAAAAGGAGGTCACTGTGACCTACTTTTGAAATTTTATGGTTATATTTTTAAAAATATTTTAGGTATTAATTGGCTTAGAATCATCAAACTTAGTTGATGCATCTTTGGTCCTCAGAGAATGAAAAGTGATAAGTAGGTCATGATGACCTACTCTCAGGTACTAATTGGCTTAGAATCATCTAGGGTTCTCAGAGTGTTTCATCTAATGTAGGTCATGATGACCTACCTTTGGAATTTCAAGGCTTTATCTAAATATACAGGATACTTAGAGGCTTCAAATAGAAGTGATAGGTTGTACAGTTTATCAGAAGAGCGATTCAAGGCCCTTGGGCCTCTTGTTTACTTTTTTAGCTCTTCTGAGCCAAAGGCTCAAAGAGCTAATGCTATGGCCATTTGTGCGGTGTGCGTAAACTTTTTAGAATATGGGCCATAACTCAAGAACCCCTTGGCCAATTATTGTCAAATTTGTCACAGGGTATCCTTGGCCCAAGGGCTTCCTTTTATACTAAAACTGGGGTTGTGACCCTTTAACAAGGGGAGATAATTAGGAAAATAGAAACAAAAGTACTGGTTGCTAAAAAATCTTCTTCTCAAGAACCACTGAGCAGATTATCACCAAACTTAAACAAAAGGATGAGGATATGTTGTAGATTAAAATTTGCACGGGGATTTACCCTGGGGCAAAGGGCGTGGTCTCAAGGTCACTTCAAAGTTGACAAAAAATTACATTTTATTAAAATGTTGATATTTTGCTTACTATAAGGACTAGGATCATCAAATCTTGTCAGTTGGTGCATCTAAGGACCTCATATCATGTTGACTCAAAAGTAGGTCACGGTGACCTACTTTTTAAATTTTGTGGCCATTCTTTTTCAAAATGATTTAGAGGTATATTTTGAAAAATTTAAGGCCTATGATCATCAAACTTTGTCAGTTGATGCATCTTGGGTCCTCAAAGTATGTCAACTAAAAAGTAGGTCACCTTGACCTACTTTTTGAATTTTATGGCTAATCATTTTTAAAACAATTAAGGTCATTAATTCGAATACGGGGAGGCTTAGAATCATTAAATCTTGTAAGATGATGCATCTTGGGGCCATAAAACATATTTATTAAAAAGTAGGTCACAGTGACCTACTTTTTGAACTTTGCAGGCATTCGATTTCAAAGCGTCTTAGAGGCATAATTTGGACATTTTAAGTCCTATGATCATAAAACTTTGTAAGTTGATGCATCTTGGGTCTTCAAAAAAGGTCAACTGAAAAGTAGGTCACCGTGACCTACTTTTCAATTTATATGACTATAATTAAATATTTCAGGTACTAATTGGCTTAGAATCATCAAACTTTGTCAGTTGATGCATCTTGGGTCTTCGGAGTAGGTCGACTAAAAAGTAGGTCACAGTGACCTACTTTTGAAAATTTATGGCGTTAATTTAATATTTCGGGTACTAATTGGCTTAGAATCATCAAACTTTGTCAGTTGATGCATCTTGGGTCTTCAGAGTAGATCGACTAAAAAGTAGGTCACATGACCTACTTTTGAAAATTTATGGCTTTAATTAAATATTTCGGGTACTAATTGGCTTAGAATCATCAAACTTTGTCAGTTGATGCGTCATGGGTCTTTGGAGTAGGTCGACTAAAAAGAAGGTCACCGTGACCTACTTTCGGAAAATTTATGGCTTTAATAAAATATTTCGGGTACTAATTGGCTTAGAATCATAAAACTTTGTCAGTTTATGTGTCATGGGTCCTCGGAGTACAACAACTGAAAAGTAGGTCACGGTGACCTACTTTTGAAAATTTATGGCTTTAATCAAATATTTCGGGTACTAATTGGCTTAGAATCATCAAACTTTGTCAGTTGATGCATCTTGGGTCCTTGGAGTAAAACAATTGAAAAGTAGGTCACTTTGACTTACTTATAAAATTTTATGATTATAATTTTAAAAAATACTTTAGGTATTAATTGGCTTAGAATCATCAAACTTAGTTGATGGGTCCTCAGAGAATGACAAGTGATAAGTAGGTCACCATGACCAACTCTCAGGTACTAATTGGCTTAGAATCATCTTGGGTTCTCAGAGTGTGAATTGGAATTTCAATGGTTCATGTAAATATACAGGATACTTCGAGGCTTCAAATAGAAGTGATAGGTTGTACAGTTTATCAGAAGAGCGATTCAAGGCCCATGGGCCTCTTGTTTAGCTCAGCATTCATTTCTTTTACAATGCTTAAGCAAAACTTCAAAGTGTCAATGGGCACAATTTATTAAGGTATGCAACTTTGTGGATTTAAAAGTTTTAATATCAAATTAAGTGATTAAAGGTCATATAAAGCCATAAGGAAGACAACCATTTTTATAATAACGCCCTTAGGGTACAGTGAAATCATTAGATTTCGTGGTAGCTCAATTTTCATGGAATTTATGGGTACCTCTCATCCACAAATTAACATCCTCCATGAATTAATAAACTCTTATTACAAAGTCATATTTCCTTTTGTAGGTATAAGAGAAAACACAAAATTACATCCCCACGAACCTATAAAATTTAAGCAATCCACAAAAATTCAAACAAATTTCATGATTCAACAACCAATAGTGCAATATCAGTTGCATGATCCCTAATCAAAGCTGTTTTTTTCCAGGAATTCCAATATTTGTCAAAGTAAAATCTGCAGGTGGAATTTTGGTGTCTAATGGTATTAAGAGAAATAATAAGTTTGCTATAAAAGTTCCAAAAAGTAAGAAACTAGAGGGTAATGTTTCAAATGTTTATTTTATTTTCAATAAAGTTAAAAAAAGAAATTATGGTTTTTGGCCTGTTTAGTGGTTCATAAATAAACAAAATACACATGAATTCTTATTAATAACAGATATCACAGTATAAATATAAACAAGTTTGTTTTATAGGCAGTCTGGAAAAATCAAAGAAATCAAAATTAGCACATCATGAACCCCAAGCTGATGAGCAAACGAAGAGGAAACAGTGCAGAAAAAGAAAGAGGACTGAAGATTCTGAACTTCCTAAACCAAAGAAAGTGAAATTACAGGAATATGTCAATCCAACAGAAAAGGGAATTAAACAGAAAGAGCAGTCTCCCAGTTTTAACCCTTATAAGTATGTATGCATGCCTCTATAGAGAGATAAAGAATTTTTAACAGATATCAATTTCTTAACAACATAAAGACAGATACACTGAACACTGATTCCCTCGCCTGACAGATTTCTTTGTACATGTCTCAATCCGGTTTGTTCCCGTTTTCCACACATTTGAATTTTAGGTATTGAAAAGAATGTGTGCAAAACGGGAATTTGTCCAGGTAAGATAATTACTTAATTGCTATAGTCTATATCATAGTTGTGAATTTGGAGAAAGAGATTCTACGGAAAGAAAAGGAAGAAAAAATGTTAATTTTACACTTGACATTTTGACTTATTTCTTTAAAAAAATATTTTAAAACATAAAATAATATCACAAATACCAATCAAAACTATAATTATATTCACATGATACTAACTGGATGGGTTATTTTTTTTCATGAATTAAGATTGAATTCATTTACTTATTCATTTTATCTTTATGAAATAAATAAAAAGGGTGAACTGCGATAGGGATATTTGTCTAAACTATCAACTTCATCTTCGGGTGGATAAGTAAAATTTTCCTAATGTATTCCTTTAAATATATATTATAATGCATTGGTTAAATACAGGTAACCAGGTAAATCCCAGATGGAGATCAAACTATAATTGCTATCAAAACATATTTCACACTTATTGTTCTATACCTAATTATCAAATGTGTGCAAAACGGGAACACACCCTCAATCCTACAGATACATATTATACATATATCACATGGCTTCAGGGGTGACATAACAGAGTGTTTGCCCCTCAGTGACAGGAAAGTCCTGGAGTGTTATGGGTATAGTCACCCGAAAAGCCATGTGGTAAATGTTATATAACATTTTGAAAATTAAAAAATTGTCTAAAATTGTGTAAATTTAGACAAATAATCCAAAATAGCTTTCATGACGTTAAGAATTACGCACTTTTGTTTACGTTTGCTTAGCAATCAACGTCATTTAATCTTGAAACACGTGAAAGTGATCGAGAGGTACCGGTAGTTATAACTCTTTCCGTCAGTTGATATACCTGTTTCCGGCATGTGACATAGCTGTTTTTAAGTGATTTAGCATTCTTCAGGGTTTATAGTGAAACTTATTATATTTATGATACAGTAGGAAAACTTATTCAAAATGATTCCCTCACCTTACAGATATCATTTGTACATGTCTCAATCCTACCTGTACTCAGCAGATCACAGAGAAAAATTCCCAGCAGCTCGTAAGTTGGCATTGATGATGTTATTTATCAAAATCTCAGAAAAAATTTACATATTCTTATACATGTATTTCCCACCATGTTTGCATAAAGAGTAACACAATACTTTACAGGGGTGTGCAATTAAAAAAATTAAGTACTAGCCCACGGGCTAGTGGCAGCAATAAAGTTACTAGCCCCAAGTAAAAAGTTACTAGCCCAAATGTAAAGGGGGGAGGAGGGTAACAGAAAACTGTTTTTTGTTGAAAAAATCAGGGTTTTAATGTCATTAATTCTTTTTAGAATTAAAGTTTAATTCTCACTAGTAAGATTAAATCATGTATAAATTAATAATTATGATAGAAAATAAAAATGAATTCAAATAAATTATCTACAACGAAATGAAAATCATTTTCTCATCTTAATTAATTGATTATTTAATGATTATTTAATTAATCATTAAATACGCTGGAAATATATTTTATGTAAACCACATAACACTTATCTTTCAGTTGATTGAGTGATCGTAAATAACTTAAAGAGATATATGCAAGTGTATTTACCATAAGCAGAGGAATAGAGGAAATTCGGATTAGATAAAAACGATTGTTTTTGGAAGTAAATAAGTCAGGTAGCACTGCAAAATGGATGCGATTATGGAGATTAACGAAGAGTAGGAACATGCTGCCAAATTTTTTTTCATTTTTTGAGAATTTAATAGCAAATAGTGAGTGAAAATACCGATAGTAATTTTCATGTATTACAATGGTAGTTTTAATTTTTACTAGCCCAATGGGCTACCTCTGTGCAGAAAACTACTAGCCCGACCCAAAAAAATGGTAGCCCCGGGCGTCGGGCGATGCTAATTGCACACCCCTGCTTTATACTAAAATTCCTCCATAGATCCTCTGTCAAATCCTGATCCATGTCTGTATAAAGAGATTTATTCAGTGGATGTTAGGGATGATCCTAAAGTATCACTTCCTAACAAAGGGCAGACGGCCATGACGCCTATGGACATTCCCCCTCTTCCATCTTTAGAGGAACTGCTGGGAAGAATGCATGATAATCACAAGTAAATCACACACTTCTTATATTTATAAGTCTATATATAATGACTCCAGTATTTGCCATGGCATCATACTATATTTGTTCCATGCTTCTTTAGAAGCTGTAGGTATCTAGCTTTCCTGCACACCTGCTGTCCAGTTTCCTCAGCAAAAAAGAGAGTCCAGAAAACGGGGAGAAGAAACCGAAGCACCCCGACGCATGTTCTCCTCCAAGACTATGCTCCTCCTCAAAAAGTTAGCAGCTGCTTTATTTGATTAGCTATTCATCAATATACAAAATTACCAGCTAGCTAAGTATAGAATTGAATTTATAGGCAAGATTAATTTTATGTACATGTACACACGTCTTACAATGTATTTTGTATGTTAAACAGGTGTACATCTTACGATGTATTATATAAATATTGCATGTAGTTGAGTGTAACAATGAAAATTTTCACCCCAAGAAAATGACAGTGTTTTTCGAGGGGTGAAAATTTTCAATGTTACACTCAACTACATGCAATATATATTACTGAATGTTTTATACAAATACATATAACAGTGAACCTTGTGCACATATATTCTGTGCAGTCACTATTTTTTTTAGAATATCACCCGTCGTCAAGCAATGTTAACTGTTGCTACGCTGGAGGGCGTGGCTTCATTATTCAGCGAGTAATAGTGATTTTTAACAAATGTTTCTCGACGAATCAGATTCAACTAATTTACATGAAAGTATAATATTTTTGTATGTTGAACAGGTGTTCATCTTACATGTATTTTTGTATGTTGAACAGGTGTTCATCTTACGATGTATTTTTGTATGTTGAACAGGTGTACATCTTTTTGAGGAAAGTTTTCATCACAGTTATTCCTGAGAAGCTTCTTGGTTGTAAACAGAACAGGAACTGTTTCTTAAAATGTAATATCACAGATCACTCTCCAGAACTTAATGTACACTGTATGTGTATCACCTGATAAAGTGTTGTTAAGAAACTGCTGTCAATTGTATTATGTTTCACACATCACCTTTTATTAAGAATCACTGGTAGATGTTAATGTTTAATAATTATTGATGATTTTCTTGTATATTTACAGCTGTTAAGAAATTGATATACTTAGGGAGGTATGAGAAAATCTGCTTGGGGGAGATCATGAAAGGAATAAAGGTGAAATATAAAACAATATATTCACTTCTTTTTTTTCTTTTTTTCTTTTTTATTTTGCTTTTTTGCTTTTGGAATTGAAACAAATTTAATTTCTCATTATTATCAAAATTTCTACATTAATCTTATGATTTTCTAAATGGAATTATGTAGTATTATATTTGCTTAAAGATTTTTATGTTCTGACTCAATTTAAACTCTTATTTTTCCTCTTAGACAAAGTCAGTATCATGGTTGCCCAAGGATTCTCAACATTGCTTGAAGCTTAATTTGCTGTCTACTCTAGTGTATTGGTTGATGAATACTTTCATCATAACTCTTATTAAGGTAAGTATCTCTGTGGCTGACATTTTTTTTTCTTAAGAAGATATTTCTATTATCTCCCTTTGTAAAGTCTCCCATTTTTGTCTCCCCTTCTTTTGAGGGAAAAACTGAAAATGTTGCATGTTGCAATCAAATTCATCAATTTTATCATGGCTATTCCCTACATAAACAAACTTTAGGGAGGTGTAAGTAATCATGTCTGTCTGTGAGGGCAAATTTGTCTAGGCCATAAGATTGTAATAAATGAACAATACAGGCTCATATTTTTGACTTCAAGATTTCTTTTGACCAGAAGATGTCTTTTGAAGTTGACCAAAGGTCATTTTAACAAGTTGAAAGTCACTGGTAGGCAAAAAGAGATGCATGTGAAATCAGGCTATATTTCATGGATTGGAAACTATGTTCAAATATTGATTACAGTCCTCACAGGGGTCTGGTTTTACCTGATCACTATAAACAGTATAAATATATAGTGATGACATAAAATCAAGCAAAGTTATGTTACCAGTTCGTGTGCCAGATTGTGTGTTTACATTGATTCAAGTCAGTCGGTTAGAGATCACTGGTTAAAAATGTACAATAAATATTGAAATTCTGATATATTGGTAGCAACATGCATAAAAAATGATTGAAGGCTAAAAATGTGTCATGAATCTGATCAAATATTACACAAAGACAAGTTTCCAGGAGGGAAAAGAATAGTCTATCTGGGAGACGTACCTTTTTTTTTTAGCTCACCTGAGCCGAAATTTGTCCGTTGTCTGTCGTTGGCGTTGTCGTCGTCGGCGTTGTAAACTTTTCACATTTTCATCTTCTTTTCCAGAACCACTGAGCCAATTTCAACCAAACTTGCCACAAAGCATCCATGGGTGAAGGGGATTAAAGTTTGTTCAAATGAAGAGCCATGCCCTCTTTCAAGGGGAGATAATAGAGAATTGGTGAAAAATAAATAGCATCTTTTAAAAATCCTCTTCTCAAGAACCACAGGGTCAGCAAAGATGAAACTCATGTGGAAGCATCCTCAGGTAGTGTAGATTCAAATTTGTCCAAACCATGACACTCGAGGGTAGGGCGGGGCCACAGTGGAGGATCAAAGTTTTACATAGAAATATATAGGAAAAACCTTTAAAAATCTTCTTCTTAAGAACAGCAAAGCCATGGAAGCATCCTCAGGTAGTGTAGATTCAAGTTTGTTCAAATCATGGGGGGGGGGGGGGTAGGGCTGGGCCACAATGGAAGATCAAAGTCTTAAATAGAAATGTATAGGAAAATATCTTCTTCTGAAGAACTGCAAAGCCATGATAAGTCATTTTGATATGGAAGCATCCTCAGGTAGTGTAAATTAAATTTTGTTAAAATGATGACCCCCGGGATAGGGTGGGGCCCAATGGGGGATTGAAAATTTTACATAGGAACATACAGAAAAATATCTTCTTCTGAAGAACTGAAAATCATGTTCAGTCATTTTGATATACGGAAGCATCCTCTGGTAGTGTGAATTCAATTTTGTTCAAATGATGACCCCTGGGGGCAGTGGCGGATCCAGGAATTTCGTAATGGAGGGGGGGGGGGGGAGTAGAGGCAGTGGGTCTCGGGGCTGCATTGAAGCCCAAGTGGGTCTAGAGCAAGGCCTTGGTGGGGGTCTGGGAAGCTGACGAATTCTTACAAAGAAGAGATGTTTTTCATTGATTTTAGGATAATGGACATATAAGTTCTACATGAAAAAAATTCAAACGGGGGGAGCATGCACGGCGCACTGGCCCTGGATCTGTCTTTGCGGGGGTAGGGTGGGACCCAATGGGGGATCGAAAGTTTTACATAAGAACATATAGAAAAAAATATTTCTTCTCAAGAACAGAAAAACTATGTTTAGTCATATTGATATGGAAGCATCCTCAGATAGTGTAGATTCAAGTTTGTTCAAATGATGACCCTGGGATAGGGAGGAGCCACAATGGGGGATCAAATTTTTACAAAGGAATATATGGGAAATTTTTTTCTAAAGCTTTTCAAGTACAACAAAGCCATTTGTTATATTGACATGGAAGGTAGTTTAAAATTCAAGCCCCCCCCCCAATCTTTTCAATACTGAACTGATTTGTGCTTTTGCCTAGCCAATGTACTCAGGTGAGCAATGTGGCCCATGGGCCTCTTGTTTTGTAAACAAGCTATGAGTGATTGTTAAGATTAGAACCTGATTTGTTATTGCAGGCTTTCTTTTACGTAACTGAAACAGCAGTGTACAGAAATCAGCGGTTCTTCTACAGAAAGAAAGTATGGTCCAAATTACATAATAATGGTATACAAGGTAAATCTTTACCACAGTAACACAAGCAGTGAAAACAGATTGTAATGTGGAAAAAAGTAACTACCGTACATACTCGCCTGTAAGTCAGTTTGCTTATAAGTAGGTTGTATTTTTTTAAAGATTATTTTGCAGGAATCTACCATTGACCCGGTTTTTGGCCAAAATATGTTGCCAATTTCAGATTAATAATCTCTGTTTTATATACCTGTGTTTCAAAGAATGTTTTGGGAGTATGACATGAATATTTGATCTTTTATTTCCTATTTAAACGAATATAAGATCATTAAAAACCTGCAACCCATTTGTTTTATGTATATGGTAACATTAGATCTCCCTTTTCTGCGTAAGATCAAGTTCTTTAAAATAAAAAACCTTTATAAATGATCGTCATTTGAGTTGTTACAAAATTACCGATTTCCTCTTTCAGAAAGATAGCAAATTTTCTAGGACTTGCTTATCATTGAGACATAGAGTTTCGACCAAAATTTAACACCCCAAAATCTGACTTAAAGGGGAGTATATATGGTATATGTATATTTTGGCATAAAGAGATGATTGATTTGAAGAATTGTGTATTGATATATTTCATGCCATCCCTTGCTTTACACCTATCAGTTTATTGACCAATGGTTTCTAGCCAATATATTCAGAACCCTTTGCTTGATAATCCTCAAACTTTATACCCAAGCTAAATAATATGTAAAAGAAATGAGATCTACTGGTCAGAGACAAAAATGTAAAATGAGATGCATGTTCTGCTCTACCTGCAACAAATTTTGTGACATGATATTCTGTAATTTGCTTGCAAGTCATCAAACTGCATTCAGATGGCTCTGACAAGTAGCAAATCCTTATTGAAAGGACATATGAGAAATGGGGGACATAAACATATTTGTAATCATTTTTTGTATTGTAAGAGGACTCATTTTTATGATCTTGTAGATTTGAAGAGGAGAGGAATACTGTCTAGCATTAAAAAGGTAGTGTTTCATTTCTGTGTCACAAAGTTATTTTATTTACAAATGTAATTTCTTTTTGCTTGTTTCTGTGATTCTCTCACATGAGATAATATAGTAGTGTTAGTGTACTATAGGAGAAAAACTGGCTATTTTTGCAATAGAAAAAATCAGTCCATATTTTTTGGCAGTCTGAAGTTATAGCAGCATTACAGAGAGGAGATTGTCTAGGGGAGGCAACAATAAGATTTCTACCCAAACTGAGGTCACTTCGTCCTATTGCAAATTTAGGAAGACAACCACCAACCATTGCAAAATCTGTAAGCTCTGCTGAATTTTGGTCCACAGTCTATAGTTGTTTTATAAAGTATCATCTGCATAAATTGAGTATTTCTGAACGTTACAGAGATGATTAGAGATGTTACTGTGAGATTTCATGCACATTAATGCAAGGGGTGATATAATACTTTTTAATTTCAGACTTTACCAATTAACAAGCAACTTATGAATGTATTGACTGTCTTATCCTATCTTACAGTGAGTGTTTTATTTCTTTGACAAAGAAATTATGTACCAGTATCATAATTAGCTTCAAATTAAGAATGTAAATCAAAATGTGTTTAGGATGGTGGTGCACTGAATGATCTCCTACTGAGAAGTCTAGCTAATTAGCAAACTTCATATGCAGGTTGTCTATGAACAGTAGACAAATCCTAATTTTCAGAATATTGTGTCACATTTGTTTCCCTCTTCAGTCGTGTGATCCTTCCAGCCTAGGATCTGCTGCATTTGGGACAGATGACATTTTTTCTGCTTGGAAACACTATGTTATGGACTGGAAAAGGAATCCCAAAAGGTTTGCATGATTTATTTATTTTGATTAACTTTGTTACTGGAATGCCTTCTCTTAACTATATATATATATATATATATCTATATATATATATATATATATATATATATATATATATATATATATATATATATATATATATATATATATATATATATATATATAAAGCACTAAAAACCAACAACACTGTATATCATAAGTGTCGGATCTACTAAGTAGATACAAGGTCACGGATGGAAATTTATATAAAGCACTAAAAATGACCAACGACACGAACAATAATAATTGTCAAATTTTCGGGACGACCTGTCCCTTCCTCAGGACAAAGAAAAAAGTTAAGAAGTCATAAAAACAAAGGAAATAGAGAAGCAAAAACAACTAGCACTACTACTAAACTACCAAACACTAAATATTTACAATGTTACATGTTTAATTTGGAGTTTATAAACAGTTGTGAACAAAGAAATCCGGAGCGCTATGAATTGCATCCGGTCTATCGGGTGTACTCTGGTGAAGTGTGATTTACATAATTGAACGAATTAATTATCGCTAATTAATTACGACCAACAGTAAATCGTACATTGTCTTATTTGTTTGGTAGTTTAGTAGTAGTGCTAGTTGTTTTTGCTTCTCTATTTCCTTTGTTTTTATGACTTTTTAACTTTTTTCTTTGTCCTGAGGAAGGGACACGTCGTCCCGAAAATTTGACAATTATTATTGTTTATGTCGTTGGTCATTTTTAGTGCTCTATATATATATATATATATATATATATATATATATATATATATATATATATATATATATATATATATATATATTTATATACAGTTAAACCTCATTATTTCGAAGTCGATGGGACAAGCAAAAAACTTTGAGATATCCGAGGGTATGAGATGTCGAGGGTAAAATACCTAAGAAATATGTGGTTAAGTCTTCCAAATTACTTCAACATATCCATTGTATTCGAGGCATCCATGTTCGAGATATCAAAGTTCAACTGTATATGTAAAAATTTTGCTTAAATTTCTGACATAATGTAAATGTTCGTGAATTTTTTTATTGTCATTATATAAACTCTGTAATTTTGTTTCATTGTAGGAAATCATTATATTTTGTCAAAATGGACATCAGTAGTTGCTTTGATGGTATTTCACAAGAAAAACTGCTATGCATTTTGGACAATATGCTTTCAAAGGTAGTTTGTGAATTTATGAAGTACTGATGTGAGTTTTAAAACAAATACCTGTAAATCTTGCATATTTCAGCCCATTTTTTGCTCTACTGGTCAGAAACCAGAAGAGCTTATGCGATTGTAAAGTGTCTGTCGTCTGAAGCTGTATAAATGTCTGTCTGTCTGTAAACAATTTTTTCAAAATGCTATTCCTCCTACATTTTTTTGGTTCGATTTCAAGATAACTTGGCACACAAGTAGACTTCACTAAGGTACATAATTCTGTGAATCTGTTTCTCCTTTTGATAAACAGTGTTGCCATGGTTACTAAAAATTGAATTTTCTGTGAAATTCTTTAAAAACGCTACTCCTCCTACAGTTTCAGTTGGATTTCTGAATAACTTTAGACTTTATTAAGATACATAATGCTGTGTATCGGTTTTTAATTTTGTTGCAGTGGTTACTAATAATAGAATTTTCTGTGAAATTCTTTCAAAATGCTATTCCTCCTACATTTTCAGTCCAATTTCAATATATCTTGGAACACAAGTAGACTACATTAAGATACATACTTCTGTACATTGGTTTTTTTTTTTAATTTCGATGAACGATGTTGCCATGGTTACTAAAAATAGAATTTTCTGTGAAATTCTTTCAAAATGCTGCTCCTTCTACAGTTTTAGTTAATTTTAATATAACTTGGTACACAAGTAGACTTCACTGAGATACTTATTTCTGTACATGGGTTTTTCATTTCTATGAACAATGTTACCATGGTTACTAAAAAAATAATTTTCTGTGAAATTCTTTCGTTAAGCTATTCCTCCTACAGTTTCAGTCCAATTTCTGAATAATTTGGTACACAAGTAGACTTTATTAAGATCATAATGCTGTTTATTGGTTTTTGATTTTGTTGAACTGTTGCCACAGCTACCAAAAATAGAAATGACTTTGAAATTCTTTCAAAATGCTACTCCTCCTACAGTTTCAGTACGATTTTAATATAACTTGGTTCTACTTTTGTTAAATTAAAAACCAGTAGAGCTACAGTCTCATCAGAGTTTTTCTGGTTTACATAGGCTCCAGATGAAGATGTAATCATCAGAAAATTTGTGTCTCACTACGTGTCAGATGGGAAAGTTGTGTGCAAGTTTAAGAAGATTGCGTCCAGCTTTGGGGAATATATTCCTGACTTTGAAAAATTTGTCAAAAAATTTGCAGAAGACAGTAAGCTCAGTAACATGGTGTTTGTTAATCAGGTATGTAGAATTGTTGTTATAGATTAGAACAAACTTAAAGCTAGCTTTGTCTGTTGGATAGTGCATGTGTGGTAGAGATTGGGAGGGGGTGGGGGCTGATGTGGACAGACTGGTTATATTAGTTTTGAAAGTGCTTATTTTTTGCACATTAAATCTGTAATTTTTTAAACATTGTCAAACGGGCCTTTAGTCTTTAGCTCTCCTCTATGGTGTTAATACCGTTGGCACCCAAGGTTAAAGTTTTTGAAGCAGATTTCTTTTCAAGTTCTTCTTTGCTCTATTTTGATCTGAAATGGAGACCAGGTTAATGTTTTTGGAGCAGATTAATGTTTTTAAAGCAGGTCTCATTCCCAAGTAACTATAAGCCCTATATTGACCAAACTTGCAGGGATGATACATCTAAGAATGCACACTACAAGGCTTGCTTTGGATGCTGGATCTGATCTACATTTTCCAGTTGAGTAACCAGGTTAAAGTTTTTGGAGCAGGTTTATTCTAAAGCAACTATAATAACTTGACCAAACTTGCATGGATGATACACTACCAGACTTACTTCAGATGCTGGATTTGACTTTCTGTATTTTTCGGATAAATGACTAGGTTAAAGTTTTTGGAGCAGGCCCCTTATCAAGAAACTACAAGGCCCACCTGAACCAAACTTGAATGGATGATGCATCAAGGAATGCAAACAACCAGAGTTGCTTCAGATGCTGGATTTGACCTGCATTTTCCAGATGAGTGATTGGCTTAAGGTTTTTGGAGAAGACTCGATCCAGTGTAACTGCACACCCTAGCTGGACCAATGCATGGAATTTGCATTTAGGGGTGCACACCATCGGACTTGCTTTGGATGCTGAATTTGAGTTATATTTTCCAGATGAATGACCAGTTTAAACTTTTTTGAGCAGGCTTAATCCAATGTAACTTCCAAGCCCTCTCTGTACCAGACATGCATGGAATTTTTATTTAATGCTATTGGACTTGCTTTGGATGCTGGATTGGTCCATTCCCAAGTACTATGTCTTCCCTGGGCCAAACATGTATGTTGTGACTAAGTTTTTGGAGCAGGTTCATACCAGTGTAACTTTAAGCCCTACTTAGACCAAATTTGCATGGTGATGCTTCAAGGGATGAACATTCTCAGACTTGCTTCAGAAGATGGATCTGACCAATGCTTTCGGAATTTGTGACCAGGTTAAAGTTTTTTGAGCAGGTCCATTCCCAAGTACAACTATAACTCTAAGGCTTATATGGACCAAACATGAATGGATGATTCATCAAGGGATGCACACTAACAGACTTGCTTTGTATGCTAGATTTGACCTGCATTTTCTGGATGAGTGACTAGTTTAAAGTTTTCAGAAGTCCATTCCCAAGTAACTGCAAGTCCTACCTGGACCAAAATTGAATAAATGTTGCATCTAGGGATGCACACAACTAGATTTTTAGTTTTGTGTGGGACTTTGCCTTACTGAAAGATAGCATTTGTTGAGGTGAGCTTTGCAATCTTTGATTACCTGTTTTACTCATATTTTGCAGATGATAAACCAACAGATGCATCTAGAAGAGACCTTTGAAAAGTTGAAGTGTCACATACTGAACAATATTATCAAGGTATGTTTTGGAAATAAGAATCAGTCATTGATTATTTTTAAAATAGATAATTATTTTCTTTTGTCGGCATATGGGAGGAAAAAAAAAACAGAACCAAGTATCAGGAGAGTCCTTTTTTATGATTTTCTACATAAATTGTTCTGTAGTAATTTTGAGAAGCAGAAAAGGAGATATTTTCATACGTTGCCATTCCGCCAAAAATATAAGCCCTGCTAGATTTCAAACTCAGCTTCCCATTTCTGATTTAAGCTGTACAATCATGAGGAGGAAAGAAAAATATGGTCTTTTTAAATACCTTATTTCTAAACTTATAAAACATAAAAGCAAATATATTTTGAATATTTATCTAGTCAGAAACCAGACAAGAATTCCCCCTTAAATGTATTGTGTGAGCACATGTATAACTTTCACTTTACTTCAAAAGATGAAGAGTTAATGAATTAAGGTATCCTTTTAATAACCCATAGATTGGGAGACAGTACTTTAAGCAGACAACAGGAATCAGCCAGGGGTCTGTTCTCTCCACCTTACTTTGTAACCTCTATTATGGACACATGGAGAGAACATTTTTACCTCCACAGAAAGAAGAACTCTTAATGAGAATGGTGGATGATTCTTTATTTGTCACACCCTCTAGGGAGAGGGCAGAGATGTTTCTATGTAAAATGATACAGGGTAAGGTTGTTTATTACCTAAGGCTGTATGATACAGGGTAAATCTGTTTATTGCCTAAGACTGTATGATACAGGGTAAGTCTTTTTATTGCCCAAGACTGTATGATACAGGGTAAGTCTGTTTATTGCCTAAGACTGTATGATACAGGGTAAGTCTGTTTATTACCTAAGGCTGTATGATACAGGGTAAGTCTTTTTATTGCCTAAGGCTGTATGATACAGGGTAAGTCTTTTTATTGCCTAAAGCTGTATGATACAGGGTAAGTCTTTTTATTGCCTAAGACTGTATGATACAGAGTAAGTCAGTTTATTACCTAAGACTGTATGATACAGGGTAAGTCTTTTTATTGCCCAAGACTATATGATACAGGGTAAGTCTGTTTTTTGCCGAAGGATGTATGATACAGGGTAAGTCTTTTTATTGCCCAAGACTGTATGATACAGGGTAAGTCTGTTTTCGGTTGAAGGCTGTATGATATAGGGTAAGTCTTTTTATTGCCCAAGATTGTATGATACAGGGTTAGTCTTTTTATTGCCCAAGACTGTATGATACAGGGTAAGTCTTTTTATTGCCCAAGACTGTATGATACAGGGTAAGTCTTTTTATTGCCCAAGGCTATATGATACAGGGTAAGTCTGTTTATTGCCTAAGACTGTATGATACAGGTAAGTCTTTTTATTACCCAAGACTGTTTAATACAGGGTAAGTCTTTTTATTGCCTAAGACTGTATGATATGGGGTAAGTTAGTTTATTACCTAAGACTGTATGATACAGGGTAAGTTAGTTTATTGCCTAAGACTGTATGGTACAGGGTAAGTCTTTTTATTGCCCAAGGCTGTATGATACAGGGGAAGTTTGTTTATTGCCTTAGGCTGTATGGTAATGGGTAAGTCTGTTTATTACCTAAGGCTGTATGATACAGGATAAGTCTTTTTATTGCCCAAGGCTGTATGATACAGGGTAAGTTAGTTCATTACCTAAGACTATATGATACAGGGTAAGTTTGTTTATTGCCTAAAGCTGTATGATACAGGGGAAGATTGTTTATTGCCTTAGACTATATGATACAAGGGAAGTTTGTTTATTGCCCAAGGCTGTATGATACAGTGGAAGTTTGTTTATTGCCTTAGACTGTATGATTCAGGGGAAGCTTCTTTATTACCTAAGACTGTATGATACAGGGGAAGTATGTTTAATCCCCAAGACCGTATTTTTATAGAATACGTACATGTTTGTTCATCAACAAAGATAAAAATTTATGACAGCATTTTAGCACATTTTATGGTATTAAAATGAATTTACAATATTTTTAACAGATACTTTTTATTGGTTCATTTAGGAAACACTGAGTACAATTTCTCAATCAATACAGACAAGGTCCTTGTCAACTTTGTGTACGAACATGAATCTTGTGGAATTATGAAAAGAAATGTTGGAGGTACATATACTTTTCTATCTCAGGATAATTATACATTGTATACATTTATATTTTATTTATTAATAAAACTGGTACAGTAAAACTTACCTTATCTGGAAACCACTGGTTCCATAGAAAATGGTTGAATAAGACAACAATCCTGATTAGACTACATTTAAACAATGAATTTACCAAAAGGGACTGAAAGTTTTCATCATAATGGGCAAGATTTTGGATTAGACAAGTTTTACTGTACTACATATATATATATATTTTACCGAGTGGCATGAAGCGATGCGCCGTGAGCTCTTATGACAATTCCTTTTTGAAGAGAAAATTCGTATTATTGCATATTGATCTAACAGAATTCTTTTCCTCGGTAAACCTAATATGTATCCACGATGCACCACAAATAGAGTTTCCAGGAGTGCAGTACTGCTCTCTTTCTCAAGCTCTTGATATAACCAAACAAAAGTTCACAAATAAAAAATATACCTACATATACCTATATTTTATAGAAATGCAACTAACATAACATCATGTGGTGCCACAGTCTAAACCTTCCAAATGAAGAAGTGAATCTATGTTAAAAGAAACTATACAGTGAAAATGCTGATAAAGAACTGTCAGGGATGGAAAATTTTGCTTCATTATAAGCCTAATTTGCGTTATATCTGTTTAGTTTACAATATATTTTAAAGTCAAGGGGAATGAAAATCACCTCATTGTAAGTGTCAATTCTTTGTTAGTTTGTTCGTCATAAGCGTGCTTTATTGTATCCAGTATCCAGGTATCCAGTAATAAATTATACAAAACTGTGCTCACCCCAACAGTTGATGCACTGTCAACATATTAAGTTCATAATGTGTATCCTTAGATAAATTTCCAAAATTTTAGAATGGTTTCCATGGTGTGGTTTGCTGTTAAACACTGCTACACTTGAAGTTGGCAATGATCTCACAAGATACGAAGGAATAAGTATGTCTTATTGTCATCTGTTTGATTGTTGTGTTACATTAAAGGCACTATGGATACACATACATTGTAAATAACTTCCATCTTTTTGTCTTTGGAGTCATACCATATGTTCGCAATATTGCTGAAGATGTGAAAATTATTCTCTTTTGGCTGTACATCTGTGAGTAGATGTCTCTGAATGAAAAGATGTGCAGTCTGCACTTATCATCTACATGTAGTATGAACTTCTAATCTTGTACTATTTCAGTTTTTTAGTCATTTTCTGAGCAAAGTCATTAAGTCAAAGAATTTTTTCTCAGATTTACCTCACAATAAATGTCTAGATTCTATATTGGTTGCAGTAAATGCTGTTTTATTGAATCCGATTTAATTACCGGGTTCTTTTTTTACCTATGTCTTTCAATAGGAATGAGATATACACTGACAGTTGATGTTTCTTCATCTCCAGGCCTTACAATGAAAAGAAAATTATTGATGTAAGGATTCACATTCAGCATTGTCTTTTTTTTTAAATAGGAGTTCTCATTTTCAGTCCCTTGTATTTAGATTGTAAATATATTAAAACTAGATTACCTGGTAAATATTCTTTATTTTTAGGTCCCTACGACCAAAATGTCATGCAATTTTCCTTGATACTGAGGTAGATATCTTATGATTGATTAAATTTAAAATCAACAAAAATCATTTTGTCAAAAATAAAATGGGGCAAATATGCATCAAAAACTTTTTTTCAAAAGTGTGACAGAATCCAAATATCCACTTTAAGAAACTTGATCTCTATGGAATGAATTAGTTTTAATTTTGTGACATATTTTCACAGTTAAATTCTCTGGAGGTTTGCCTGTCAAACAGCTACAGACTTTTGTTGCTGACTGCCTTTAAGTTCCATTGCTATGCTTCTTGTCTGCCAGAGAAACAAAGGGTCACTGATAATCCAGGCTTCTTCCATGGTGCGTAATCATGCAGTACATAAGTACAAATATCCAAGTAGATTTTGTACAAGTAGATTTTGTAACCATCTGTAAATGCTTGTAGTTTTATTTTGAATTATCTTGTCAAGTATAAATTTTAGAGGAAAAAAATTCTCTTTCTTTCCTTTTCAGCCATGATCAATGATATAGGTTCCTATATCTGTTCTCAGGCAGCACTGCAATGTAAAAGAAAGGTTTGTCAAATAAAATTTGACGTGCTTACCTTGCAAAACTAAAAATATTGTGAGAAGTGAACGACTTATTTTAAAGTCATGTCTGTTAAAGATCAGTAACTTTTCTTTCTACAGTTTAGAGACAGTTTCATTTTTGATGTTCCTAAAAGAGTAATGGAATGGTAAAATTTTAAATTTTTTATGCCCACGTAATCAAAAATTCAGGAGCATATAGTTCTTGATCTGTCTGTCTGTTTGTCCACAAAAACTTTAACCTTGCCCATAACTTTTGAGTGGTTAGTGTTAGGGCTTTCGTATTTCAAGTGTATTCCTTATGAAGGGCTGGCACTTCCCTCATATTTACACCGAATATCGGACCCATTCCCATTGACAAAAAGTGACCAATTTTCCCAATTTTGTGATAAAATTTTGGAATTTTCATGGTTAAAAAAAATCAAATTTCATTTTATTTATTAATTTATAATATTTCTTAAAATAAATATATGAACTCATATATTACCTTTCATTATGTTCTGCTGATCAACTTCAAATTTGACTCATTTTTTAAAAACTTTAACCTTGCTCATAACATCTGAATGGTTAGTGCTAGGACTTTCATATTTCACATATTTATTCCTTGTGACAAGACCGTTCTTTTGGTAGCAACATTTTTGATCTCATTACCTTGACTGTGGAGTTTGAACAACTTTGCAAAACTTTTATCTCTGCCATACGGCGTCATCAGTGTTTCACAGACACAACTTGTTTTTTCAACTTTTTATCAACGGAAAATAATTGAAACTGGAAGATATAATACACTTGCACAGCTTTATTCGTGAATTTTTTTTCTTCTAATTTTAATTAAGGATCTATAATTTTTATTGTTAGTAGATGTTTTCCATTGAAGGTTATGTTGGTATGCATTTTTAATGAAGATGAAATGTCACTCATCAAGCTACAAGGAATTGATTCAAATGATAAATAAGTCTTTGAAGCGTACAGAAAAATTGCTTCATGCAGAGGTACAATTTCTTTGAGACATTTGATTTTGATAAAGTTTGAGTATAATTAAAAGTTTATTTATGGGTACCTACAGCATTACAAATGTTTGTAAAGATTTTAATTATATTTTTAGGATAAGCATGCCTGTGTTGCTCTCAGAAGATTGTGTGGACAAATTCCTGTGGAGTTGAAGATATTTGGGAATTAAATTTTGAGACATTTTAATGACTTTGATGGTCAATCCTAGTATTGCTCTATATTTACTGATCAATCCTTTTACACGGAAGTCTGCATGTGTGGTATTGAACTATATTCATTAGTCAATCTTTTTACATGGAAGACTGTATGTGTGGTATTGCACTATTTTCACTGGTCAGTCCTTTTACATGGAAGACATAATGTGTGGCGTTGAACTATATCCATTAGTCAATCCTTTTACATGGAAAGACAACGTGTGGAAATGCACTATATTCATTGGCCAATCCTTTTACATGGAAGTCTGAATGAGTGGTATTGCACTATATTCACTGGTCAATTCTTTTATACTGAATACTGCATGTGTGCAGGTATTGCATTTTATTTTTAAAGAACAATGATGATTATTTTCTGTTCTAGGTACACCCATTGGTATTGTACTTGTTTTGAATATTATCGCATTAACAAATTGTTAATTTATGGACAAGGGAAAAAAACATTGACCAAGTACACATTATAAAAAAATATTAATAATACCAAAATATATGTAAGTATTCTTGATTATAACCAGCTGCCAGCTATTGTAAGTAGCTCTACTGGAGACAGCGAAATTATATACGGTCGGGATCGAAATTCAAATAATATTCACAACTTAAGGAGAATTTGATTTGTGTCAACCCAAAACAAAGGAGAAAACTAAATATTACGAAAAACAGTTTGTAAGGTAATTAACGGGTTGGATATTTCATAAATTCTACAGTTCATATACTCATCTGAATCTTTTATTTAAGTAAAACGGGGGTTATTGTAAATTTCCTTGTTTATTTCTATATGACCTAGTTTATTTTGAGAAGATGATATGAGCTCGGTACAACTGTAACACTGTAAACCAACAATGTGTTCATTATGTGTATTCACAGCAAATCAGTGTTACAGATGTTGCTGTGAAAGATTCAGATTCAATGAAAATGTTAGTAATTTCTTCAGGTTTAAAATTCTTTTGCTGTTCCAAAAAGAACACACTTTGGGAGATTTTGAATTTTCAAATCCTGATGATGATCTACCCAAAGAACAATTGTTTAAAGTGCACTGATTATTCTGTTAGCAATTTTGAATTATTTTTACTTTGATGAATTATTTTGAAATAATTATAATCTATGTTATTACTCAAAATGTAGACAGTAACCCTTGCCAGCATGAACATTTGTGCTTGCGTGGACCTAGCTGCAGATCTGAAGCTCGCTTTGGTCCTCCTAGATATGAAAATTGAGACCATCCAAAATTTAGCTTATTTGTACTGCCATTTTGGGTGGCAAGAAAAATCGGTCCAACGCACTTTAATTGTGCAGATGTTGATTACAAGAGAATATGATCTTAGTCTCACTTTTACAAAAGGAATATATAGTGGAAAAGTGAGACTCAGAGATCAAAAGTAAGCTTGTCTCAGTTTTATGACCCCTGAGCCAGGTTCTAAAGAACTTTTTGAAATCAAGCTAATCTGGAACTGAGCGTAACTTTTTGTATGCAATAAATATAGTTTTTTCTATGGATGACACTGCAGCTCTCGGGTCTGTCAATATTTTTTTCAGAGAGCAGGTAGCTTGGACCTATGGTACATGCATAAAAAATTACTTTTGAAAAAAAAAAAAAGACACCAATTTAATTTATGCCAAAACATATGAAATCAAATTTTATTGACAACCAAAGTGAAGTGTATACAAGTACATTATATGGCCAAAAGTGAGTCATAATTTATTCTTCACAATATATTCTTTGAATATTCAATATTTATAAAAACTTCTGAGGTCAGTTTTGGCCCTATTTCATTGATGTTTCACTTGATTATGCAGAATTATTCAAATTTTGTCTTCCAAAGAGGTTAAGCAAAGTGATGCACTGCATGATCATTGAGATTTTTAACCTCATAATTCTATACTTTTGTAAATTTTCATTTAATATTGAGTTACATAAATCATTTTAAAATCAAATTATGTAAAGAAACTGTATAAAAAAAAAGTCTACATTCTAATATGATGTATCATAGACCAAAAGCACATTAGGTGTATGGTTGTATTTATAAAAACTGTGCTAAAAATAATGTTCCAATACTTTTTTTTTTTTTATTGTAGGTCAATATTATAACATTTTTAGGACTGAATAATTTGAAACAATGTAATGCAGTTTTTGTTGGATTTCATAGAAGATACCTTTACTTAAATAGTAAAAACTAACTGACTCATATCTAATCAGTTGACCATAGTAAGCATAGATTGATCCAGTAGGTTTCACTGAAATGTGATTTTTCCTAAATGAGTTAAAACTACAAATACATGTTCATATAGGTAATAAGAAATACATATTGACATACATTTATGTTTTTTTTTTCCACAGCACTTTTGCATACATACTAATTTCATCCAGCACTTAATTAGATTGAGATATAGAAATGGAAGACGTCTTGATGTCTGAAGATGGAACAGAAGATGAAGATGATCAGAAGCAAATACAAAGTGGTGATACCAGGAAAAGTGAGAGGAAAAAAAGACCTCGTATTTATTATTCTCCTGAACGGACAGATGGCAAAAAGAGACGAAATGGGAAAAGAAATGGGAATTCTGTTACTGGACCAAACAGAAAATGTGATTTGCTACCAAATGGTAAAAGGATTTTTACCAATTCATAAATAAAATCAATATTTTATTGAAATGTAGGACATGCAGGGTGCAAAAAAAGCATTTGTCCACTTGTCCTGAATGAGTGAAAGTCGACTGAGGACAAGTAGATGTCCTAATCTGCTTGCCACTGGTGATGGGTAAAATTTTTTGTGTGATAATTTTTTTTCTGTTTATATGCAGTGATATTGTCAAGAAAATGAAACAAAGTGCTTCCAGGTTCCAGGGACAAATTTTTTTTTGCTCACCCTGACATGGTGTGCAGTTGTAACAGTATCTTCAGCTATTGATAAATGTTGAAAATCAAATTTACAATGTGAATTATAAAATGAGTTCTATAGAAGTAGGGAATAATTAATGACAAGATGTTGATTGATACTATACTTAATTAAATGGGGGGGGGGGGGGGGGGGGGTCCGGCGTGCTGGCCCTGGATCCGTCTTTGATATGTATACTAGTAAATTTATATTGAAATTATAATGACACAGATGTGTCACTTTAAATAAGATGTATTTACATGATGGTGTACTTTTACAGGAGAACCATTTAGTTGTGGTAGATGTGGCTCCCCCTATGTTGTTAACAAGAGAAGTAAGACATCTCTGAAGAATTGTCATTCCAGACACCGCCCATTGCCACACGAGTCCTTAGATCCTCTCACAGGAAAAAAAATATTAATATGCAATCAGTGCTGTAAGTAGCAAGAAATGTTGGACATGTATTTATGTACATGTAGTTGACCTATGAACTTATATACTGTAACATAAATTCTAGTGTAAGGCAGTCTTTCAATCATATTATTTATTGAAAGGAAAATATAGCTGAAAGAAAATTTATATAGAAGCAACAGAGATTGACATACAGCTTTGATTTAGCAGGTGTCTGTGAAGTTGAATTTGTTTCAATGCTATTTTAACACTAAATAATTTTTGGCAAAGTAAAATTGTCATACAATTAGAAATATCATGGTTGCATTATTGATTTTGAATCCATTTCATTTCACTGGGTTTAGATCTTGTATTTGTCAAAAAGAAATCAAAGAAAACTTCTTGGGTCAAGAAACCTGATCCGTCAGTAAAGGAGGAATATATAAGGCAGTGTAAAGCCGAGGCCCTGGAGATAGCTAACAGACTGATGAGACCAGAAGGTAGGGCAGTAAGGAGGGGGCAGTGATCAGGGCTAATTATTTAACTGTGATCAGAGATTAGGACTAAGATTAGCGCTAAGGAGGGAGACAGTGATCAGGGCTAATTATTTAACTGTTATCAGAGATTAGGACTAAGATTAGCGCTAAGGAGGGAGACAGTGATCAGGGCTAATTAACTGTGATCAGAGATTAGGACTAAGATTAGCGCTAAGGAGGGAGACAGTGATCAGGGCTAATTATTTAACTGTGATCAGAGATTAGGTCTAAGATTAGCAATAAGAAGGGGGACAATGATCAGGGCTAATTAACTGTGATCAGAGATTAGGACTAAGATTAGCGCTAAGGAGGGAGACAGTGATCAGGGCTAATTTTTTAAATGTGATCAGAGATTAGGACTAAGATTAGCAGTAAGGAGGGGGACAATGATCAGGGCTAATTATTTAAATGTGATCAGAGATTAGGACTAAGATTAGCAGTAAGGAGGGGGGCAGTGATCAGGGCTAATTATTTAACTGTTATCAGAGATTAGGACTACTGTCAACAATGGCATTACAAATCTCTATTGTAAAATTTAGTCATTTTATAGAGGGATTACATATATGCTAAGTATGAAAAAATCAAATTGGTATCTTTATATTGTTTTTTAATACTTAGAACATTTGGCTCAATTTTAAGATTGCTAGGAAAACCCTATAACTTGAAAGTACAAGTATGAAAGTTTTTATTTATTTATTTTTAACAATTTTCAGCAAACAGGCTGTATTGTCCAGAGTATACAAAGGAACCCTGTGGCTGTATTCAGAAATATATTAGGAATCAAGGTATCTTTTTTTTTTCTTCCTGTTCTTATTACATTTTTTATAATTAACATTTGATATTAAAATGCCAGAGAATGTAATTAATTTGCTTTATGTATCTTGAACTGGGCATAAAAGTGTACCTATTAATGAAAAAGGAATTAAAGAAAAAAATGTATACATTTCAGTATAAATATAAATGAATTTGATTGTTGCATCAAGTTTTCTATATACATGCACATGTATATCTGCTATTTTAAAAAAGAATTGCATATTACAGTGTAAGATTTTTCAGAAAGTAGACTTTTATAAGATTTACTTCATTGAAAGGAAACCCAGTCCAAGCAGATCTGAGAGCTAAAGAGCTGTGTGATTTACTTCAGAAGGCAACTGAACTTAGCAAGCTTAAATGTTATCAGCTACCCGAATTATGCAGTGATGACAAACAAGTTAAGAAGAATGCCAGAAAGTAAGAATGCAATTAACTTATATTTTATGGAAAATCAGTATGCAGTAGTGTAATGCAAAAATTTTCTGCTGTAGATACAGTAGAACTTTGGTATCTCGAACACTGATATCTTGAATACAATGGATATGTCAAAGTGAATTGGAAGTCCCAACCACCTATTCTTTAAGTATTTAATCCTCAATCTTTTGAATACTCGAATATCTTGAAGTTTTTTTCTCGGTCCCATTGAGTTCAAGATAACAAGGTTGACTATATTTCACATGAGTGACTCATTATAAATTGGGCTATAGTTCACTGTTCACCATTAAATGTCTTACGTGTTCACACTCTAATATGTTAATGTCTGACAGTGACAATGTGTTAGGATTTAATACCATTTTTCTATGAATTTACTGAAAAAAACATGATTACATGATTTTGAAAATTTTCAGTTCTGTGTTTTATAGAAAAATCTATGTAGGACTAGGAAATGGCCACAAGAGGTCTCGGGCTTTTGAAGTGTTTGTGTTGGAGAAGCGACAGTACCTGAGGGACGTGATGAAGCTGTGTGAGAGGGGAAGTCAAAGAGTTCTCATGTATTCCAATAATTTCCTCCACAAAAGGTTAAAAACAGAGGAGGTAATAAAACCATTGCTCTTTATGAGCTTCTGTAATACACGTACTTGTCATTTCATCTGTCTAATATACTCAGGTGTGATATAATGAGATAAAAATGGACATTTTTAAATGAGTTTGGTAATAATATTTATCTGAACTTTTTTTTATTTAGTTATAATTAATGTATGTGTGTTTAATTATCCAAAGAGACTTGTTTTAGGATAGCTGTCGTTTAGTTATGCAGAGAAACAAACGCACCATGGGATTGTTGACTGCTTTTGAAGATTTCTCAAAAAATAAATGCTGTGTTGACTGTTGTGTCAAAGTAAGTACCTGTAAAGATCTGAGACATTATGAAGCTGTCATAATTTTTATGACAATTAACATAATGATTGCATTAGTATGATTTAAATATTCAAAGGCAATATATTAGGGGAAGGGGGTTGGGTAAGACAATACTATAGTTATTTTATTTGTTTTATTGTATATATAGATGGCAGATACTCATCGCAGACTGCTGATGGATTGGAGAGAAAGAGCAAAGAAAAGTCAGTCAGAGGCAAGGAGGGTGATAGCTGAAATGTTGATTCCTTCAGGTATTGGCTTTGTTTGATTTTTTTTATGATTTTCTATGGAAAAAGAATAAAATACAAATTTAAAAAAAAAAATCCATTTCCTTTAAAAGTATTGACAATAGTAATAAAAGTAAAAGTATTTTTCATTATTTTTGGAAGTAAAACTTGACAGAAACTGTCTTTCAATCTAATGTAATGACTGGTGTTTGTAATACTTGTGCTGTAAAATATGTGGATTAATCTGTATTCCATATTCACGTTACATCCATTGCTAAACTTTCAAGATGAGCACTCCAGCCAAGGCAAAATACTCTATTTTATTTACAGCTGGATGTAGAAGGAATTGCTACAGCTTTATCAACATGGTGACTGGCTCTTCTAGAGGGATCATCTCAAAGGTTAATCAGCAAATGTTGTGGACAGGAGGGGATCGAGAGCCTCCAGAGCATGGATTGGTCAAATATAAGAGAACTCACAGCAGCAAGTCCAAAGTCCATACTCACCCTGCCCAGAAACCAAAAGGTCATACTTAAATGCACTATGAAAGGAAATCTTTGGGGAAGTATACTTCAATGTGGCAAGATGATATAATTGTTTTCATTGCTTTAATGTTCTGTATTGTATTTAGTGACTACAGCAAATGTCTCTACAACTATAAAACCAAGACTGGAGATGAACAACACTTATGTACAGCCAGACAGTGGATTAGTTCAAGGAGCACCTCATCCACATGTCCAGACATTTAATACCCAAGAACCAAGACAAGCAGCAATGACTAGTGTAAGGCTTCGGTTTGTTAGTATACTCAATGAATCTGATTTGGAAATAATTCTTTCTTAATATCATGTATGTGTTATGTTAAAAGCTAACATGTATGTAATCTAAATAGTGATAACAATGGTTTTCAAATTATGTGCATAGTCATCAATAAATGAAGTTTATAAAAACATTTTCAGGATTTACCAATTATGTTATATTGATTAAAGTTTCAAAGTATCAATACATGTAGCCATATATTTGAGAAAGTAGTAATGTACATGTACATAGTTATGAAATTACTAGTATCTGTGACATAGAAATGATATTGTTTTATGTAACGACATCATGCAAAGTCAGAAAAAAAGCATAAAACATAACTGTGCGAAGTATTAACTCATTTTTAGCTCTACCAGCCAGAGACCAGGTAAATATGATATGCTTCCTCTGTGTTTCATTTTATACCTTCTATTTCTGGCAGACTGAACCCCAACAACAACAACTACTTCAGCTACAACAGATATTTGAACATCAGCAACAGCAGCTGATACAACAACAGCTTTTACAACACACACTTCTTAATGAAAAGATGGAAAGCTCTACCACTCAGGCAAGTTCAAAGCTTGATAATGATTAATCAAATGGTGATAAAAGATATGAACAAGGAATCAACAGATAATTTATACAGTTGTTCTTATATTTTACAGAATGTCATCACAATTCAGCAGTTAATGGACCAGATGAGTGCCCAGGTGATGAATACACAGTTACAACTTCAGCAGTCTCTTCAACAGCTTATTGGCATGGGGACTCAGTCCAATCAATCAGCTGTTCCTACATCAACTGTCAATCAAAACAAATTGTTAACTCAAGCAAATCAACATCAGAAGAACAGCCAACTGGAAAATCCACAAATTATTCCATTTTATCCGATGGCAGTCCATTCAAAAAATACGACTGATCAAGAAAACATGCAGGTGAGTATACTGTGGAGTCATCTTTGTTCTTTGGGGACCCTTAACCACAAATCTACATCCTCACAAATGGTAATTTCATCAACATATCAGTTAATAGATAATACATGTATAGTAAAACAGGCTTATAACAAAGTGCCAGGGACCGGTGATTTTGCTTCGTTATAAGCGTAATTTGTTATATCCAATAAGTTTACAACATATTTTAAAGTAACGGGGAATGAAAATCACTTCGCTATAAGCGTCAATTCGTTAAAAGCGTATTTGCTATAAGCGCATTTTACTGTAATTAGGATTTTTTATCAATTAAGCTATACTGTATGTGTACTTAAAATAGCAGGCTTCATATTTAAGCGGCTTTGGCGCAGACAACGATGCGCTAATTCATGAATACTGCTAATAAATCATTTATAAAAAGTATTAAATACAATATACAGCACGGACATGATGATGCGCTAATTCGTGATTTCGCCAACAACTCCATACCCAGTGATTGCGCTAAATTTTGAATATGCCAATTTATGTACACGTACAGTATGTTACATGTACAAATATAGATATTAAAAAGTGCATGCACACTATGTAATCTAAAATATTATTCTAATCTAAAACTCTGGGTTTTTTTTAATCAATTAAAAATACTTTTTAAACTTGTTTTTATATTATTTTTGTGAGTATAAAGCCATTCTCAGGTAATTCATAACAAGGTTTTTATACTCAATACAATCACCTGTGAAAATGGACTATAGACCGCTGATCAGTCAGGTGTAACAATCAAAATGTTGGCTACAAGGAATTCATTGTTCATTGAATCCTCTGAATATGTAAGCCACCCATGAAATTACAGTCCCACTAACTCGTAAAATTTTGATTGCCCATGAACATTGACCTCCATGAATTAAAATGATTCCTCAGTAATGGGTAAATGATGCAAATTAAGTTGGAAGAAAAGAAGTAGAATGTGCTTTATAGATCTTAATTTAGTAATAGATTCTAATTGACTAGAATCGTACCTGTAAAAAATCCATACTTTCACTTTTTCAGGTTAATTAAGATATTATTTCATATTTTCAGGAAATATCTGCAGGTACCTTAAATAGACAACAACCAACAGAGGAGCATTCTCTCACAGGCCAGAGTCAGCAGCCAGTATACATCCAAGTAAACACAGCTGGCGGTCAAGGTACTTATATACAGGGATTCCCTCAGAACCAGACATCAACCAATAACCAGGCCGGTGCTTTGGTGTACTCTAGTGAACATTCCACATTTATTCCATACAACCAGACCAGCATTCATTCTGGTAATAGCACGCCCAGTGTTGTGACAAGTGGAAATTTATCTGTCAGTCAGACAGCCAACGGACAAAATCAGACAGCAGCAATGAGTATGAATTCTCTACACTTAAATAGCAGAAAGCCTAATACAAGCTCAGCTTTTGTAACTGTGTCCAAACCCTCAGTCCATATGGCTGCTAGCAACCATAATGTGGTTCAACCATCACAAATAACAATTGTATATCCTGGGTGCAACACCTTTGTAAAGCAGTGTGTTCCACGATCTAAGAGTTCTGTGGTAACTGAAACAGTAGCCAATGTACCGAAGAATGTTGCAAGTGTCCAAAGTCATTCAAAAAGTCAGACTTTCTCAATTGCTCCTTCTGCCAAACATGTGATTTCTCAAAATGTGGGGAAACAATCTTCTGTTATCTCAACAAGTTCTGCAACTTTAAACACAACCAATAGGTCCAAAGTAGGTGGAACTCCTCAACTTGTGCCATCTGAGCAGACCCAGCAAATGTTAAATGATTTGCCCCAAAGCTCAGACAAAGTGATTCAAGTGCATGCCATTTCAGATCCAAGCATGCTTCTGAAACTTCTGGAGCAGACTCCTGGTCCTCAAACACAAACACCTGTTTCTGCTAATCTACCATGTTCAAAATCGGTGCCTGTCTCCACAACATTAAATGTTCATTCTGTCAATGCAAGAATGAATTTTGTTACAAACGCTGGCCAGGAAAATGCAGTAGTTCAAGGAAATCCTACTCAAGTCATACAGGTCTCGAATGTTCAGACAGGCATAAGTGGAATGAACCAGCCATCAACCCCTCCCTCCTACACCTATATAATTAACCCCACTGTTCCCTCAGTGCAGCCTCTGTCTGTTGATTTAGGTCATCAAACAGTCGTATCCCCATCAAGTATGGGCTCAAACACTCTAACAACACCTTCAGGTGCTGCTGACTTTGTAAATCCTTCCACACTGGGATTAGCTACTCCTAATCCTCAAAATTCACAACTGGTTGCCATTGATCCAAATCTATTAATAAGACTTTGTCAACAGGCCTTTTCGTACCAAGCTCTGGACCCCAGCAAGGGCAAAGCCAAAAAAATTCCTTGAATTAATAGTAAATGAAATTTTGAATAGTTGTTTTAAACTTTGTTATATACAGTACATAATTATTCATTTAATAAATTGAAGTTTTGATTCTATCTCGTTTTTCCTGCATGTGATGGAAAATACATGTACATTCAAGGTGTGCACCAAGGGTAAAATTTTCACATTTTTAGCTTCTTCTCAAGAACCACTGGACCAATTTCATTCAGACTTGCCACAAAGTATCCTTGGCTGAAGGGGATTCAGACTTGTTCAAATGAAGGGCAGTGCTTTCAAGGGGAAATAATCAAGAAAAAGTGAGGATGGGGTCATTTAAAAATCTTTTCAAGAAGGAATGGGCCAGAGAAGATAAAACTTATATGAAAGCTTCCTGACATCGTTTAGATTTAAGTTTGTTCAAATCATGGCCCCGGGAGGGGCCACAATGGAGGATCAAAGTTATACATAGGAATATATCTAGTAAAAAATTTTCTTCTCAAGAACAGCAAAGCCATAGATGATCATATTTATATGGAAGGATCCTCAGGTAATGTATATTCATGTTTGACCAATTCATGACACCCCCCCCCCCTTCCCGGGAAGGGTGGGGCCACAATGGAGGTCAGGATCAGTTTTACATAGGAATATATAGGGAAATTTTTTTTAAAATCTTCTCAAGAACAGCTGAGCCATAGATGATCACATTTATATGGAAGGTTCCTCGGGTAGTGTAGATCCTTTGTTCAAACCATGTTCCCCTGGGGGAAGGGTGGGACCACAATGGAGGATAAAAGTTTAATAGGGAAAACATTTAAAAGTTTTCTCAAGTACAACAGAGCCTTTGACAGTCATATTTACATGAAAGCATCCTCAGGTAGTGCAGAATGCCAGATTCAATAATCATGACCTTGTGAATGGGGCCACAATAAGGGATAAAAATATTTACATGGGAAAATCATTTAGAACAGAGAATTTATGGCTTGGTCATGATATGCAAGCATAAATCCTCAGGTAATGCATATCCAAGGGGTGTTTTTCCTATCACCCCTTTTCGATCTAGTTTGCCTCCCCAATGTCAAATTCTTGCCGACGCCCCTAGTACATGTAGTAGGGGTGGGGAAGGTGCCCAATTGGGGATCAAATTTTATTTAGGAATAGAAGAAAATCTTTAAAATTGTTTGGAGGATGTCATGTATTGAAATTTATAATACAATGTTTATTTCATTTTCTCATCAATTTATAGATGATTATAGAGTTCTCATCAAACTGTAAAATGTATGTGATATAAGTCTATTTAGCCAGTTTCAGGTGGGCTCAAAGTGGATGTAGCCTGAAAAACTCACGATACTCAGGTGACCATTAAGGTCCAGAGCCTCTTGTTGATTATGCCTCCTTTTTAAATAATTCATTGTAATGTTATCTAGGTCACGGGGTAATGGATGGTGGATCTCTCTCTCTGTATTTAATGCATCTTCATTTTTTGGCGTTAATGCACGAATAAATGTATTAGTGGGAAAAAGGTATATACATGTACATAGAATGTACTTGATAACCTGAAAGCAAATAACCGAATTCATAGGGGCATATTTAGAGACCAACAGAAACACAGTGTCATAGGAATGATATTCTCTATTCTCTTTAGAGAAGTGGACAGGCTTTCGCCTACATCCACTTCGAAGTGGATGTAGGCGAAAGCCTGTCCACTTCTCTAAAGAGAATAGATACTCTCATGTGGAGACAATTTATTGTTGAGTAAATTAAATTTGAAAGATCAGGAACATGAAAAATATTCATCATTGAATCAAAATTGATCAACTCGAAGAGATCAAGGATAGAATCTATCTTTTGGTAACTTTACTGTTCTTTCGAATCTTCTCCAATTCAGTAAATGTGCATTTTATTCTCCGGACGCCTGTAAAGGATTAAACCTGCCCTTGACAGAGAAGAACACCACTCGATTGGTCAATGACGTACATGTAGTGTTACGTAAGCAGGTTGTTTCCTTTGCTCGGTGCCGAACAGCGTACAGGGATAAGTACGCTTATTTTATTCGTATAAATAGTTGATTTGAACTATATTCCTTGTGTTTTGGACATTTTGGATAGAACACAGGACAGCCTCTTCCAAATCGTTACACTATTTATGTGATTTATCAATTTTGGGGTGGAAGTAAATTCGAAACAATATGGTCTTTTTTGTGATACCACGTTGTTGTTTTCACCACTATTTTCCTCACTATCTCAGCCTTTCATTCTTATTATTACCCTTAAAGTAGTGTCCCAGGGGAAGATATTCTAACAAATTTTCAGAATTATATAATTTTTTATAACCATAGACCCAAAACAAAGGTCTATATTATAACCTAGACGAAGTCTATGTAATACTTGTCAGAATCGAGGTTTTACAAGTACATCTAATAATCAATATTGAGTTCATTTCAATGTCGCACATTACCCACTCAACAGGTCTAAAACAAATAGATATAAAATCCCTTTTTATATCTTTCTGACAAAGGAGAAGGGTAGATACTTAGTATCTATTCAACTTTGCAATTTTTATATGCTTAATATCAAATTTGGATTATGAAGGACTTGTGTTTGAAATTCTAAGCTCTTAAAACAATATGTTCAAAAGCTTTTACCTGGGACTTTAAACACCCGAAACAAGATAGTCAAAATATCCTTAAATTGCACGCAAAATCTTTGCAAATTATTGAAATTGTAATCATTTGTATTGAAAAAAAAACTTTGGAAAATTTTATTTTGTCATTGGTGATTTGCAAAATCATTTTATTAAAAACATTCTGATTGTACACACAAGTACTCTGAAGTAGATAGTAAAAAGATGCAATCAGATGCGTTTCTAATTGACAATATCTATGTAGTTTTTGGAAATCAGGTGTCGGAATTCCAATGGGTATCAAATGCGCCCCATTATTAGCAGACCTATTTCTGTATTCATATGAAGCAGAATTTATTCAAAAATTATACATGAGAAGAAGACACTTACTGTGACCTTCAACTCGACATTTAGGTATATCAACGACGTAATAACAATGGTTACTTCCATTCACATGTCGACTCGATATATCCCAGAGAACTTGAAATTAAAGATACCACAGAATCTGACAGATCTTTTTTTTATATCTGGATATTTTACTAGAAAAAGACGTTAATAGTAACCTAACAACAAAACTTCATGATAAACGTGATGACTTCAACTTTTCCATCTTCAACTTCCTTTACTAATGCAGCAATATATACTCTTATCACCTGCATATGGGGTTTATATCTTCCAATTGATTCGAACCACAAGAGCATGCTCCATGTTCGAACAATTTCTAAAACGAGGCAAGCAACTGACAAACAAGTTCATGAAACAAGGATATCAACATTCTCACTAAAAGTCATCATTTCGCAAGTTCTGTGGTCGATATAATGGCCTTGTCAGCAAATATAATCTATCTTTAAGTCGAATGCTAACTGACATTTTTTATACTAATTGTTAGGCCACTATTTAAACACTAAATTGTCTACGGATTTTTCTGTTTGCCCAATCGACAATAAGCACACGGCGGGTGTGACTGGTCGACAGGGGATGCCTACTCCCCCATGGTACCTGATCCCACTTCTGATGTATTTTAGAGGTCCGTGTTTGCCCTGTTCCCGATTTGTACTGTTTTAATGGACTTTTGAGCTTGATTACTGTTCGTTATCTCCATATTTCGTCCTCATCACTCCTCTAAAACTACAGTTTACATGCAGCATAATTATGAAGAATCACTGCTAATAAACATCTCTCCAGATGTAACATATCTGCAAATTTGATCAATGTAGGATTTGTTAATTATAACTTCAAAACTTATATGACCCTATTAATGCAGAATCTGGATCAAAGTATCAGTCTGTAATGACGTCATCCAGAGCAATGTTGTATATCCAGTAAGGAATAAACTTCTTACAACTTCGAATTCAATGTATCCAATGTGTAATGAACTCATTTTTATTTTGTTGAAGAAGCGTATCATTTTGAAGGACTATACGATTGAAAATTATTATTAAATCAAGATATTTTTCAGAAAAATGATATTCTACTGAGAAATGGCCCATGAATTGTTTGCTCTGAAACCCACTGAATAACAAGAATTTTGCAAGTAAATCAAAAAGTAACGTAAATTGATTTTGTCAGAATCTCCCAGTAAGAGCTAGAGTGAAGGAATTTGTTATCAGTAGAATGATGCGAAGGGGAAATTATAGGATATTGTGCATTCAACAATTTCATTTTTTATAATAAGCAAAAAGATTTTTTTGTGTCAACTCAAAATGTTGGAGGAATATTAGTACCTATAACAAGCTTATTTTTTTGGTCCTTTGAGACACTTGGTGCCAAAAATCAAATTTGAAAACCATATTGTACTTCTGCAAGACATCGACAATCGACTGCAAAAATACATTTTAGTCACCTTTAAATGTCAGAGGAAAAGCGTTGAAAAGAAGATATGTAAAATTGTTAAAGAAAGGGACGGAGGGGATTATCATAAGATTAGTCTTTCCATTTTCAATGCTTAATGTGGATAGACAAAAAGCTTAGGCCAAAAAGCTGAACTGATCTTTTACAATAAAGATTTGATTATTGAGTCAGTCATGAATCACTGACAAAGCAGAATGCATTGAGTCAATGTGTGATATTGAAATCCACTCAGTATTGAGCTTCAGAGACGTGGGCAAGACAAATTGTGAAGTTCAGCAGCTGCAATGACCTTAAATCTGGATTGAAAGAAATGAGTCGGAATTTTTAAAACCCAGCAGCTATTTTTCAAAATTAAAATTAATTAATTTTCTGAGATCGATCACTGTCCGTTATCTCTACCCTTTTTCATTTATGAAAAATATTGAAATGCATATGTTTTTCTAACTTTTTAATGACATAAAATTATCGATATAATTCAGTGACTCAAAACATCCAATATATAAGGTATTTCACACAAGTAAACATTCTCCAACACACAAGAAAGTGGAAAACCAAATCAAAAAAATTATCGATGTTTGTCACATACAAAATTTTTTAGCTGGCGTCCATATTTTCCAGTGCAAGATTCGTGGTACCAATCATCACAACTAGTACATTTAACCCAGTCCTCATCATCTGAATCTTCATCATAATAGTACCCCCCACAGTAGGAGCAGCAATTAATGGTGTCAGTGTGAGAAGGGATATTTTCCTTTGACTTTGATGTAGTCTTCTTTGATTTACTTGTAGGCTTAATAAGCTGTTTCTTCAATTTTTCCATCTCTTTCTTTTGTTTCTTTTCTTCACGCTCTTTTTTTCTTATTTCTTTTTCCATCTGGTCTTTTTCTCTTTTTTCCTCCTTTTGTCTGATTTCATTGATGAATTCATTCTCTGTTACACATCTTGCACCAAGAACTTTCTTAGTTTTTCTTTGAGCTGGTTCTTTGACAACTGTTGGAAGTTAAAGTGCTTCTGTAATTTCTTCTTAAACTGACAAGGAGCTCTGCGGAACCTGGGTTGATTGACCAATAGAGACTGTCATGTTCTCAGCAATTTCCCCCTCACTGGTAGTGCTGGTTACTGAAGCTAAGACAGAAGTTTTTGATGGCCAAATGCCTCTGCAGGAATAGCTAGAGGGTTGAAAGGAAAAATACCTGTAGCTCTAAAACCTCCAAAGATATTTACCATATTTATTTTCTCATTACTAGTATATGCATGAGAGAAAATTCCGCAAAAGTCATATCTGGATATTTGTCTGCCAGGATTTGATTTCAAAAATGATTCACAATGCTTGTAGTATGCCTTCTTTAAGGGCCCAAAAACACTTCTGTCCAGTGGCTGTGTCCAATGCGTTGTGTGAGGCGGCAAGCAGAATATTTCAACGTCATTTGTCTTCGCTGCTTCCAGAAGATGAAGTGTAATATGAGAGGCATGGGCATCTACTATCAGCAACACTGGTCTTTGAGGTGAGAGGTTGGACAAAAAAATCTTTTCAAACCATATTCCAAACAATTCTCCATCAATAAATGAGCTTTTACTGCATGCAAACAGTGTGTTCCTTGGGGCACTGCTCATTAAAGCTTGACTGATTCTTTTTCCTTTGAAAATCACCATAGGTGGCAAAGCATGGGCCTCAGCATTTACACAACACAAAACTGTAATGTTTTCACCCCTTTCACCACTTGTTTTCGCATGAATGGCTTTCTTCCCCTTCCTCCCCACAATTTTTGATGTTTGATGAACTGTACTAAATCCTGTTTCATCTGCATTAAATATTTGCTGGGGTTTTGACTTTATATTGAGTCTATCCATAAGATCTCCTAGCTTGGTAAAATGGTCTGAAATTACATTTGGATTAAGCATAGTACCACGAGCAGCACTTAGACCTTCAGGTTTACGGAGAGATAAGCATGGGTGCCGGTCTCGAAATCCCTGCCACCAGTCATATCCTGCCATTTTCTTGTCTGCATTAAATGGATTTTTTCTTCCTGGGTGTGCAATAATTGAATATGCAAGCTTACATACATCTGATATTGTCAAACCAAACCCGCGTTCCTCCATCTCCAAAATGTGACTAACAAGAGAGTTTTCTTCCTCTTTAGACAGAGTGGTTGGTTTTGATGCTGGAGACTCCAAATCCATTGTTGAAAGTCTCCTCGACAGGGTTGTTCTTGGAATGCCAAATATCTTAGAAGCTTTAAACTTGGTCATTTCCCCCGTTTTAACACACTGAACAGCTTTACTTAATGATTTCCTGTCCCATTTTCCTTGTTTGGGCACCCAGTCTTTTTTCTTTCTGGCCATTTTACAATGTTTTCCGTTTCTGAAATTTAAAAAATTATTTTAGTTACATAAAAACCCAAAATCTCTGTGCAAGAAAATATTTACCATCAGAGATACCTTACTTTTTTTTTTTTAATTTAATTTGCAATTATTAAAATTTATGTTACAGAAAATCAATTTATGTATTATTTTCATGATTAGAAATATCATTTAAAAATTAAACTGATACATAAAACTAAGATTTATACTGATACAATTCAAACTGAATATCTAAAGATTAAACCTGAGACTGCTGTTTAAATAACATATTGTCACGGTTTTGCGCTGGCCACTTCCCCCAACAAACTGGGGTAAGTGGACACAATATGACATTTTGACATTTTTAAATTAATCTTATCAATAATTCTAACCGAATAAATATTTGTGTTTGCAAATTATTAATTTCAAGGAGTATGCTGCCATTCATTACATTTTTTTTTTTTTATAAATCTTGAAATTTGTAATAAATCCATGAAGGACACTTGTAACGTAATTTTTTTTTTCATTATCACGTGACCTTTCTAAAGGGTAAGCGTAAAAAGAAAGCTTACTATTTTCCCTTCCTCTTGAACAACAAAACATAATACTGTGTAAATTGATATAACATTTGAAAAACTAGTGTCTATTATTATCAAATATTAACGCCTCTCACGGATTGAACTTGAATATTTTATTATGAATACACATGCTTTCATTATGTCTACAGGTTTACAGATTTTTCAAAGGGTAGCCATTTTTTATGAGAAGATTATATATTGTTTACAGGAATGATGCAATAAAAATAATATAAACTGCAAAAATACATCAATGTAAACACTCCAGACTTAAAACTGATGCTTCATTGTATAGATTGAAAACAAGTTCTTTTGCTTAAAGGCGAACAGTTTTTATTTAAACAATGGTTAATGTCTGCAGTATTTATGACAATACTAAGAAAATGGCTCTGTGCAGTTTACTTACGGATCGAGTCACAGTTTTCTCCTTTTTTCAACCGAAGTCGTCGACCTTGAATTTTTCCTGTCTTTGATGTTAACACATTTGCTTCCTCCTTTACAACGAGAGCTGAACAGGTTTGATAACTCTTGTTTGCTTTAATTTTTAAGCAATTTTTTAAAAATGTGTCCACATACCCCAAGCGTCCACTTACCCCAATTGCCCTAATTCTAAATCAACCCTTGAAACAAGAATAGGACCTGGTAGCGTTTTAAATGACGGGTATCCTTTGTGGTTTTCGACATAAGGCCACACAAAATGACTAAATCAACTGCCACAATGTCTCCACGTTCAAAAAAAGTCATGATACACACCACGATCTGCATGTACCATCCCAACTCTTGTAAACGGACATCATAGGGGGTACTACGGTATTTTGAAAGAAAAAAAGAGAAAAAGTCATCGTCTAAGAAAGGGAGGATTTAATCAGATATCTTAACTGTATATTAGTTTAAAAAAAACTTTACCCGGACTTTCTTTTTCTGATCTGATTGAAAGAATTGCAGACAGCGAATGCGTCATTTTGTCTGAGATCGAACATCTTGTTGGAAAACCCAGCTGAATACAGACTAAAGCAGACAATTTACTGCTTAATGATAACAAGCCTCTCTTGCATCCCTCAATAAAGATGTCAGGGTAAAAACAGCTTCATGATCTATTTAATCTTTACGTGCTCGGTCCTGGACAGCCCAATTCTACAAAACAAGTAATAATAGTATTACTTGTGTAATAAATAAATTTAATGATGTGGGAAGGAGCCAAAATGTTTTCCTTTCAAATCTTAAATGGGTTTGTACACGTACATAGACTTTACATCAGATTAGCCCTTGCACGTATCAATACTGATGGAAAAATCCATAGCCTCCTTAACATTGTCTAATTCTCAGCCGTTAATTCCTTGAAATTTCTTTGAAATACAATACATAAAGGCGAAATCGATTGGTTTTCCTTAGATATCATGTTAAGATAACCCCAAGGATTTTTCTTTTTTCAGTTTCCTGTAAATGCATAGCCTCTTTGGTCAAAGACATATCTTTATTTTGGACAACTTTATTCATAAAATAATTTATTGCATATAGTATACAAAAGCATTGGCACATGTACCAGTGGGTAATATTCATGTTTTTCATTTCCTCATCAATATGAAAGTAAAAAAATAAGAGTCGTGTAATTCAAAACAAACAGAAGGTGTCATGTTGTTCCGATCCTCTAGCCAACTCAACAGTTTGCCACAGTTCCCAGTAAAATATTTGTTTTGATCGCATTGTCATGTGAGAACTTTTGCCTTTCTTAACATTTCTTCATACTTTTTCAGCTGCTTTATAAAACCCTCATTTGGGTCAATGGGGTTCATTCTACGTTGAGACTGCGCAAACTCCATTGCCTGCGTCATCGTCATTCTCTTTGTTCTCATGACGTATCCTGTGACTATGGTCCCAGCGCGCGAAATCCCAGCGTTGCAATGTACCAATACCCTGCCTCTGGTTTTCCTTGCGTCGTCGATGAATTTAAAGGTCTTTTCAAAATATTGCAACAAATTGGTATCTTCCAAGTCCTCTTCTTTAATTTGATAGTATTTTATAGTTTTTGGAAATTGGTTTTCGAAGTATGACGCCATGTTGACGATGTGGGTTATTTTAAAACTTTCTAAAAGATCTTTATTCTCTGCAGGATTGCACCCAGCTGCAAAATACAACACTATAAATACGCCTAAAAATAGATTAACTAATGAATCATTATCTGTTGATATTTATCTTTAAAAGAGAATTGAAATGAATCATTGGTTGTGCAGTCTTTTTAAAAAAAAAAACCCTCTAAAATGCTGGCATTTTCAAGGCATCATTTCTCGATACCCTTACTTAATTATGCAGAAATGCCACTCAATAAATGCTATGAAAATAACACCCCAACTTTATTTGCGTTGTATGCTAAATACATGTTCTTTCTGAGACAGTGAAATTTCATACAATTATCTGTGCAATGGTTTTTGTGCTTGGAATGCACATATTGTTTGCATATATTTGTATATATGTACCTCTTGTACCAGTGATCTCTAGTTTTGAGAGAATAATGAATTGAATAAATAAAACTGATCTGATTTAAAAATTGAATTAGCATTTTGCACATGACTGGACTAAAAGAACAAAGTACATATAACTCATTAACATCAATATCAATATATAGAGAATCAGCAATACGTGTATTTTACATCGGAAACCTCGTCCGTCTTGTATAAAACTAACAGATCTCCTAAAAGAAAACCCAAAGTACTCAGTCGTCTGCTTCTTGCTTATAAATTGCCCATGACAACCTGGTTTCACTGTAGTAGCTTTGACCATTTATATGTTTATATATATCTTAATGATATTTCGTAATTTCCATTAAAAATTGATGCATTCACGTTCAAAGTTTGAGTTGTCAGGGATGACAGATGCCGTAATGCAATTTTCTCCAGAGAAGCAGAAAATCAATATTAAATTAATTCAAAGCTAAAAATCAGAATTTCAGAAAATGATTTTCATTCTACTGTAACAAAACACATTTCGTACTTACACATATACAGACCAGGTAGAATTTCATCTATGTCCATTCTATGGTATTCATTATATCTCATTTGTAACAGCATCTGAGGTCCTGAATTTGCCATCGTCTGCAAAGATAATATGCAGAAATGTACATATAGGGAGTAGATATAAGTTTAAGCACCGCAGGCTTATCGATAAATGAAATGATCGGAAATGGTCGTCCAAGGCATACACTTGTTGCCGTCCTGTGTTTTGTGGTGTGTCGAGCACGTCATGTTTTTTTTTTCTTTCCTCTCTCTCTCTCTCTTATTGTAATCAAGTTTCGCACTAAATATCGATCTCGATTTATCACTATGCATCCTAAAGGGATAGCTTTTCTTTTGATTGATTTTTCATCAGTGCATTTACGATGCGACTTTTTTTTAAAACTTAATCACACAAAAATGTGTTATGAATTGGAACATCAAAATATTAATTAATGACAAAGTAAAATAGCCTTGAAACTGTATTGTTCTCTTAAGATGAGTTTACATGTAGTGCTCAAAGTAACCTCAACAGATGTGTTAACTAGGGAATACATTAGATATATGAAAGATAGGTATAAAAACAAGATGTATATGTACATATTTGTCGTTAAAATATTACTAACATTTACACTGGAGCATAAATAGGACCTTAAATTCATAGCAATTTTAATGATAAAAAAAGCATATTGTTCTGCAGTGTCAATATCCGAAGAATATCGGTAGTTCATGGTCTCAAAAAAGGCCGGCTTTCTAGGAGTCTTCCAAAGGCAATCTTCTTTAATGGAAGATACCCATATCGTTTTAAGAAATAATTCTTCTCATACTGAATGAAAGAACGAGGGCGCATTTGATTGGCATTCGACGGAATCTGCATGGGTATAGTTGAAAAGTGAAAATTTCATTGATCTGTTACATGAAATTTTCGGATTATTTTCACAGGCACTTGTTTCTGTAATAATTTTTTAGCCCATAGTATAATAATAACACAAGGTATCTAACTTCGATTTATATGGAGTACCCCCTCCCTAGAATTGCAGTCATTTACACTTTCAGAGAAAATGCACTGGCAAACTTTATATTACCATTCTCCTCTACGATAAATTTTCTACAAAACCATATATGGCATGCTTGTCTTTAAATATCTTTTATCTCCGTGAGCAGGGTCAGAACTGCTCACTGAATGGAAAATATGTCTCTCACAATGAAGTGGTATGTACTAAACTCGGGCAGCTAGAGAGCAAAATCTAAAAATAAATGGGTTTAAAAATTCAATTCCCAATGTTTTAATATTGCAGCGAAAAAATCAGATTTGTTTATTTTTTTCCCATAAAAACATCACGATATTTTTCCGATGTAATTTTAGAAACGGATTTTTAGCGAACATATTCCACCAGAGATAAGTACATACCGATTCATGGTGTGCGACGAATTTTCCAGTCAGCAAGCAGGGTTTTGGAAGACCATCATTTTTAGCTCTACTAGTCCGAGACCAGAAGAGCTTATGTGATAATAAGGTGTACGTCGTCCGTCCCTCTGTCTGTAAACATTTTTTTTTTCAAAATCTTACTCCTCATACAGCTTTGGTCCGATTACAATATAATTTGGTGCATAAGTAGACTAAACTAAGATACACAATTCTGTGTATCGGATTTTGATTTCGATTAACGGGTGTTGCCATGATTACTAAATAAAGAAATTTCTTTGAAATTCTTTCGAAACACTTCTCCTGCTACAGTTTTACTCCAATTACAATATAACTTGGAACGCAAGTAGACTGTACTGCCATGGTTACTAAAAATAGAAATTTCTGTGAAACCCTTTGAAAGTGCTACTCCTCCTACAATTTCAGTCCGATTTCCATATAACTTGGTACACAAGTAGACAACACTTAGATACTAACATGTAATTCTTTTTATCGGTTTTTGATTTTGAATTTGTGTTTTGTATACCGGTATAAACCAACACTAATATAAAGGATACTAAAATTGAACATGAACCTATGAGTAAGCTTTTTTTTCACTCACTGACGATTTTGTAGAACACAGAAAATATAAATGAAGTTAAATAAGATTTCTTTCAACATCTGACTAATGTATTTCTTTTGTAAATCGATCAAACATCTTCATAAATAACATTTGATGTACTACTTTATAGACATGATGTGATCACAATTTAGACTGTATACAGGCCAAGAGAGACTAATTTCTGCAACTGGGTTAAAATCCATCGTCAAGTTTGCATTCAGTTGAACAGGAAATTAATGAGGCTTGTATTAACTGCACAAGCAGGCCCTGGATTAATGTCATTCCATTAGTATTAGTAAATATTATGTATCTCTTGTTCCATTACTGCTGGTAGAATAAAACATCTAGGCTTTGTGTTGATTTGCAGGAAGTGTTACTGGAAATATAATCCTGGTTTATTTGCTTGTTTCTAAGGTGTGAAGGTCACAATTCGCCAACCACTCACCGCTTGCTTACATTCCAGACTCTAACCGGATAAACAGTATGCTTTCTTTTCCCAGTCATTGCGATGAAAGTGAGAATCTCTCTGGTTTATTACAAATTTTTATATTTGTACCACAGAGAAAACGAATAAAAATGCCCACAAAATAATGACACACACCCCGTTTATTAAACGTTAAGCTTCCACTTAATTTTCACATAAACTTCACGTTTTGACTAGCCAATTTAGCCATTGTAAAATATTCATTATATAAACAGGTACACTTCTGTAGAGGCGAATATTGCCTAGTAGAATAGATCGTAAAATAATGATTAACCCGAATTAATTAGATAAATGAGGGGTCGAAAAGGCAGAACGAAGTGCATGCCTGCTCCCACTCTATATCATGAAATTATTTTATATGGTCAGGAAATACATATTGTGGAAGAGATGAGATAATATGTAAAAGAGCTAATGCATCGAATCCCAAAGGAATACTTAAAGTACATTGTATACGTATAGAACAGGACTAGCTCCTTCATCTTGTTGATCTGTTGTGTGACCATTAGGGGAACGTTCACCGTCAAAATCCGGAATCAACTGTTTCCCTGTAGAAACTGTCTACTCGGGTAACCAGCTATTATTACTGGTGTTGAATCCTCTACAGAATGTGCTGTAACGTATATAACGTTGGGACTTCTGACGTTGTTTACGCTTTAATTTATTTGATAACATTGACTGCTATCAGTTGTTTTTCAAACTTTTTAAGCTCTTTCATGAAGCCGTCGTTTGGAATAGTCGGGTTATTTTTCCTTTTGGACCGAACAAATTTCAAAGCATCTTTAAGACCCAATCCCTGGCTTTTCATGACGTAGGCTGTTACTATAGTTCCTGCCCTTGACACACCTGCGTTGCAATGAATAAGAGTGCGTCCCCCTAGAGTTAAAGAGCTGTCAATAAATTTAAACACTGTAGAAAAATGTTTCTGAATTTGTTCATCTTCAATGTCTTCTATGTCTATTTTTAGATAGGAAAACGATTCTGGAAACTTGTTTCTAAATAGGGAAGCCATGTTGACTATATGGGTTATCTGAAGACTTTTTAGAATTTCCTCATTAGCTGCAGGACTACATCCGGCTGAAAGAGAGAAAAGATTATTAGTCTGTTAAAACGACAAATAAAATAGATAAAATACTCCATCACCATTTGGATATGGAATCATTTAAACTCTTGTAAAAGAGTTGTTAAGTAGTTTGGACTTCTTTTCTTATTAAGAACATGTAAATGGAAGAGTTCGTTTAATCTAATATATATATATCCGTGGTACCGGTGTTGTAGAGTAGAATTTCCCGCTTCAAAAGAATTGGTTGGACGATTATTGGGAAAAGGAGATTTCAAATTTTCAATTTTCATACTTCGTATGTTTCAATGGAAATGGTCGCCATTTTTAAGAAGGGACTCTTGTAACAATATGTTGCCCCCCCCCCCCTCCCCTTCTCATACATAAGTACGGCCAAGATATTTTATTGGGGGAAATTGTCTCTGGGGAAATCGCACCCTGAAACTATTACACAGAGTAGGATCCCCCCCCCCCCCCGAAAATTGAATCTGATGTGGGAATTCCGTAGGGAAAATCCTACGCCAGAGTCATTTATTCGTGGGGGAAATCCTACTCTAGAGCGTATATTCCGAGGAGAAATCCTACTCTAGAGCCAGTTTTCCGGGGGGGGGGGAGATTTTAGAGGGGAAAGTCTACTCCACAAGACCGGAAGACAATTAATTAAACAAGAAAATGACTAATCACCACAGAAAATCAACAACAAACACGTCATTTACAGGTATGTAGTCTAGATTTGTACAACTGACCACAAACGAGGAGATTTAATTTCGATTAGCTTCATAAAGGGTAGACCTAATTAAATATTTACTGTTAATCAATGTTTACCACCCATATTATTCTAGTGTGTCTGGTCTCGAACTTTGCTGTGGTCCTAACCATAATTAAAATTCAATGAAATTATAACATGCAAGGAGCTGCTGCAGTTGCTTTCAAAACAACCATTTCTCTGTTAATGGGGTAATTTGGCAACAGATATTAATCACGTTTTAGTTAGTTTAATAAATAATATATTAAGTAAAATAAACACGAACATGAACCGACCTTGTAAAGTCTCTACCTCACATATTAATTTCAAAAATGAAAATAAGGACAAAATGTAAGAATGTCAATTCTTATTTATGTATTCGTTGATCAGTGTATAAATCATAAGATTACGATTTTTTAGTAATACACACATTTAAATGCACTTTAATTGTCTGTGTCATCTGAAGTGTGGTAATTCAGTCTTGTCAAGTCTATCTAATTGGTCTATTTAAAGATTTTCTTAAGGTTTTTTTCTGTGCCTTTATTTTTTTGCCACTGAAAAATACTGGTACACTAAAAAAACAAAAAAGAACCCTACCGTCTGCCATCATTGTGAGTGAGACTGTGTGTGTGTTGGGGGGGGGGGGGGTTTCAATGATTCGGATTACGGTAATCTCTCTCTCTCTCTCTCTCTCTCTTACACTTATCACTGAAGTTGCTTAATTAATATAAAAAATGAATCTACATTTCAGAATTATTTGTTGCTAAAATTTCACCAAAAACAATTTGGAATTCAACTTAGGAACATTGAATAATTTAAACGACGCTGGGAAAAATCTTAACAATGATCATATTCTTATGATAATTAGACACTTATTTATATATATTGCAAAGCCTCTTGTGAAATTTTTAAGAATTCATCAATTAATTTTTCAACGTAAGACAATCTACATTTAATAACACAAGACAGTTTACTTACATATGTATACACCTGGGAGGATCTCGTCCACATCCAATCTTTGATAATTTCCCAATCTTGATCTTGTTAACCAGGTCATTTCTTTAATATCTGGGTCAACATGAGAACAAATAAAATGCTAGAAATATTTCGTGTCGTTAATGCACTGTCAAAATTTGCAAGGTTTTGTGCTACACACAAGAGAGAATAAAAACCTATCAGGTTTACCTTCACGGTATATCATCCGTGCAAGTCTATGTCAAATGATCGGAAACGGTATGACCAATGAATGGAATCCGCTGTACATTTAACATATGTATTCAATTAATCTTGTTAAGTACTGGATAAATGTCGTTCTCACGCCAAGTCCTTCCGAACAAAAGAACTACGATATTGTCACGCAAAGACAGAGGATCAACGTACGGTGTTCAGTTTTTTTAGTTTGCAGATTAGGCCGCGTGTATTTACCGGTGTAATCCAAGAAAAGGTAACACATATTGCAACACCTACGTAAAAATACACGTGCGATTGTGCGAGTAAATACTGAGGCGGATATATAATAAAATGTGTAGCATTAAGTATATATATATATATATATGTAAGTACACCACACTGATATGAATTAATTCGACAAATTCTGAATATGTATACATCGTTATAAAAGATATGAAGATTACATCTTGAATATTACCAAAAAAAAAAAAAAAAAAAACCTGCTATAACTTTAAGTAGATATGAATGAAAATGACGAAAATGACTCCTGAGTCTCCTGGGATTTTCAACACAAGTTTTTAGATAAGAAAAATGTTCATCCCCAAAGAGAATATGTGAACTAGAACCAGATTAAACCGTAAGAACATCCGCAAAATCTTACCAAGAGGTCTGCATATATCCACCAATTTAAGTCGTACAAGGATTAAATATATGGCATTTTGAAATCATGTTTTGATAATATATACATATATATATATATATATATATATATATATATATATATATATATATATATATATATATATATATATATATATATATATATATATAAAGCACTAAAAAACAACAACACTGTATATCCTAAGTGTCGGATCTACTAAGTAGATACAAGGTCACGGATGGAAATTTATATAAAGCACTAAAAATGACCAACGACACGAACAATAATAATTGTCAAATTTTCGGGACGACCTGTCCCTTCCTCAGGACAAAGAAAAAAGTTAAGAAGTCATAAAAACAAAGGAAATAGAGAAACAAAAACAACTAGCACTACTACTAAACTACCAAACACTAAATATTTACAGTATTACATGTTTAATTTGAAGTTCATAAACAGTTGTGAACAAAGAAATCCGGAGCGCTATGAATTGTGTCCGGTCTATCGGGTGTACTCTGGTGAAGTGCGATTTACATGATTGAACGAATTAATTACGACCAAGCAGTAAATCGTACATTGTCTTATTCTGTAAATATTTAGTGTTTGGTAGTTTAGTAGTAGTGCTAGTTGTTTTTGTTTCTCTATTTCCTTTGTTTTTATGACTTCTTAACTTTTTTCTTTGTCCTGAGGAAGGGACAGGTTGTCCCGAAAATTTGACAATTATTATTGTTCGTGTCGTTGGTCATTTTTAGTGCTTTATATATATATATATATATATATATATATATATATATATATATATATATATATATATATATATATATATATATATATATATATATATATATATATATATATATTCAAGTTATCTTTCTTTGTTCATGTCAAAGTAGATGACTCAATATAATACATGAAATATGTGGAGATAACGAACAGTATTCGAGCTCAAAAGTCCATTAAACATTACAAAATAGGAGCAGATCAAAAACGGACCTCTAAGACATCAGAGGTGGGATTGGGTGCCATGGAGGAATGAGCATCCCCTGCCGACCGGTCACACCCGCCGTGTGCTCTTTGTCATGATCGGGAAATAACGGAAACTTCAATCTTTTGGTCTCTACTGGAACTACCTCAACTCTAAACGATTCTTCGTTGACTTAGTACATGTTTTACACCTCGAACAAAGGGTTTTTGCTGCTACCAAATCACTTGGTACACTCCAAGCCCAAGCTTCATCGTTGGATGCAGGCGCGGATCCAGGATTTTTTTCCGGGGGTGGGGGTTCCACCCCAGTCCAAAAAAATTTCCAACCCAAAAATTTCTTGACAAGCAAAAACAAAGGGGGGGGGGGATCCATTTCCCAAGCGTGAAAAACACCTATTTCGAGGTGGCGATGGTGGGGTCCACGTTTTCTGGGGGGGGGGGGGGGGTCCAAAGTCATTTTTTATTTGCTTCGGTATATACATTTACTAATTCTACAAATTCCAGGGGTAAAGGGGGGAAATCTCTTTTTATTGCCCTGTCTTTCTTTCAGAATTAATCAATTTTAGCAAAAATTAACACATCAAAAATTAAAATTAAAAAATAAAATCAAAATCACAATTTAAGAAAGGTTTAGTAATTGATTGAAAATTTAGGATTTACCATTTACAACGATACTTTAACATCTGTTTAACCATTATATCTCATCGAAAAAAAAAAGTTTACTCACCATCTTGTCTTTGATTTCAATTAAATTAACAGATTAAGAGGACACAGCATGAAGTCAAAATATGATTTTGAGTTCAAATACAGGGACAGTCCTATATCCCTCAAGTAGCGTGTAAACTTTCCCTGATATTGGTGTAAGCTGAGACAATCCAACCGTATACAGATTTTTTTCTGTTTTCGTTTTCTGTAGAATTCTTTGGTTTTCAAGAGCAATGTATCCATTTCATCTCTAAAAGAAATACTAATGTCCCAAAAACTCGTAAGCTCCTGCCTTAATTAAGGAAACTCTAAACACTGCACACTAAAGAGTTCTACTCCTATGAGTTAGAGTGATCTGCCCTTAGAAGTAAGATAGAAAAAAGGGTCATTTACTGTTAATTACACAATTTATAATAGATTTAAATATTCTTAGCATTATATTAGAACAAGAATAAGTAATTAAATTCATTATTTCCATTGATTTTTCCACTGTAAGTAAACAAAAGTGATTTCTGTTCATGAATAATCCATTGTCTGAGAACATTTTCCTGCGGAAATAAGGCAGGTACCTTATGTTGAAAATGAATAAAATAGTCTCAATGTGCACACCTTTATATGATATATTTATCTCCAAGCCCAAAAAGCACTTTTTGTTAGTGTTTAGAGCTTCCTTAAATCCATAAAAAAAACTACATGACTATTTTTGAATATGCAGAAATGAGCCTTATTGTAGTTGAAAACTACTCACTGTTGACCGTAACCTGACCTGTTGCAGATATACCTGTTGTAGATATACCCCTGAAGGTATAATTATCATGTTGTAAATTTTGAATTTACTAGGGGAACGTAAATGCAAAGTTCAACTCCCCCTAGTAAATTCAAAATTTACAACATGATATAATTATCACATCTGGGCCTGTACAAAATGGCAACAGTCAGGATTAAATCATCGTTATCTTAATTAAATAACAAGAAACACACAAAGATTTATAATGAAGTAGATAAAGATACAAAGGGTTTGTGTGAAACATGTACTAAGTATGTTTAACTTTTCCCTTCCCATTCGATTTGGTCCCTCGCTTCGCTCGGTACCAAATCTCATGGTACTCAGGAAAAGTTTACCAACATATACTTAATGCATTTCTAAATACCTTCACTCCTTCTCGTGATTTCTTGCAAACAGATGAATGCATTGATGTAGCATCGTTTTTGAAATGGGGAGGCAGCCAGAGAAAAGAATTTCGACTTACCTGAAAAAAAAATTGACAAGGGAAAAAAGTAGAAAAATTGTCCAAACTCGAAAATCTAACTTTTTTCAGTACCAAATTTTATTCATTCACTATTATATAACCCTTATTTGACTTATAATACTGCAACAAAAAGGGGGCAACCGGTCTTTCAATGAGCATCTTCAATAGTAAAAAGTTTTATTTGGTAAAAAGTGGGAGCCCCCCCCCCCCCCCCCCCTGTCCAAGTGTCTGGAATTTTGATCATTACAATTTGTTTGCGGAGGTAATAAATCAACCACTGGTAATATGTACTCGGCAAATAAATGAAAAACCTCGCATTGCAATTGATTTTACCCTCAGACCAGGCTTTACCGGTACCCATTGGAGGGCATGGGCTTCAACAAATTGTAAAATAAAGACGATACTAATATCTCCAATATATGATGATGCAGATCACACCATATATACTAGTACACTGAAAGAACCTAAATCATATAAAACGTGACTGTTAACGAGAAAGTTAGGAGGAGGTGCACTAAACCAAACATTCCATACTTCACCACTTCATGTCAGATTTATTCCCGACTAAACCATCCCCAGTCCAGAAACAGCCATCTCAACAAGAGAATAAGTAAGAACTTGGTCCGTTCGCTGTAGATATACGACCGTATTAAGCTAAAACCACAACCATAAGCGAACTAGACATTCAAGTACAGTCAGCAGTAACCAATTACATACTCAGTAATTGTGTAAGCTTGAACAGTTATGCTACTACTTCAAGGATTGATTCGCTGGCGAAAGTAGAATTATGTGACCTAAAACTAACATCGCAAAAGAACACAAGACATAAGAACACAATAACGATACACAGCTTACAAGACAACAGCAGTATCCATTTATAATGTGGCGGTCAGGATGGTTCGATTGCCGCTGGTCAGATAGCTCTGTTGGCAGAGCACCTGACTAGTGATTCAGAAGCCCGCGGGGTTCAAATATCCTAGGCGTGTTCTGGTCTGTCGCGATTTCTATCCCTAACCGGTGACATTTGGTGCCGTAACCATGCCCTGGAAGTAACAGGTGAAAGATCGACCTACCAGGAAAGAACCTGGGATGGTGTCTTCGGGGGCTGAAGACTTTTATTGAGGGAGAAATGTGGCGATCAGACAGGTTCGATCGCCGGTGTCCAGATAACTTAGTTGGTATTGCATCTGACCAGTGATTCAGGGGGATCCGAGCTCGAATCCTGGTCTGGTCCCGTGGTCTGTCGCATTTTCTCTCGCCGGTTACAAGTGTTGCGGTCAGACGGGTTCGATTGCCGGTGGCCAGATCGATCAGTTGGTAGAGCACTTGACTGAGGATTCGGGGGGCTCGGGTTCGAATCCTGGTCTGGTCCGTCGTATTTTTCTCCTCTCCTGTGACATTTGGTGCCGTGACCAGGATGTGACAAGTGAAAGACCTACCAGCGAAAAGCCTGTGTTGGTGTCTTCGGGGGCGAATACCTTTAAGGAGGAAGGAGTGTGACTGTAAGACGCGTTCCATCGCCGGTGGCCAGATTGCTCAGTTGGTAGAGCACCTGATTGGAGATTTAGGGGGCCCGGGTTCGAATCCCGGTCTGGTCTGTCGCATTTTTCTCCTCTCCTGTTACACAAGAATATCAACGTAGCATTAGAATTCATACAGAAACTCGGTACTTTACAAAAATGATTATGTAATAAAAATCACTTGTAACAAGAACAGATGGACAATCCATAATTGTCAGTGTGAGAACATGTGCAAATATGGCGAATTACGGGTTTCAGACTCAGTAGTCTAATTTTACACTTACAAGCATTAATAGTTTTAAGAAGAAAACCTTTAATTACTCCCTAGAGTATCATGTTGCAATTAAGGCTTCATGTATTTTTTTTTACTTCATAATCAATCTGGACCAGAGATCAGATTTCAATTTTTTAATTAAAGAAAATGCTGAACTAAGGTATATTATCGTAAATTCTCATGAAACATCACCACACCAAAGAGATAAGTATTTACAGAATCCTAATTCTCCATATTAGCATAACAAACAACAAAAAATATACTTTGCTGAATTATTAAACGTTCTTGTCAATCCATTCATTTCTGCTATAACACTAGGGCTATGTCAATATATCGAATATTCAATACGTATCGATTTTCAGGAATGTATCGTATCGAAAAAATAACTTCCAATACATATCGGACAGGCAGTTTTCCTTATAATTCTGTAAAAAAGTTGGGAATTTCAGTTACCAAAGATTATTTTTAACTGTTTTGAATTAAAACTGATCAATAATGAAATAAACATTAAGGAGATAGCACATCTTAAATAACTATTACAAAATACATAGACAACTATATTTTAACATGTTATGTTAGACTCACCCAGTTTTTATGAAATTTATGCATTAAATGTCATTTACAAGACATTTGTGAAAGACTTAATAAATAATCCAATATATCGCATATCGCTTTAAAAAATATCGTATCGTATCGTATCGAAATATTTTGCTCAATACACAGCCCTATATAACACCTGATATTAGATGTTAAAATATTTGTTGACAAAGATATGACAGTTTCCAGTAAACAAGAGCCCTTCCAGTCGTGAAAGGCACATCTGTTCATGAGTATTTCTAGACTTTCTAAAAGTACAAGTTCAACTTACAAAAAGCTTAAAGTTTTTTTTTTCTTATTACAAAGTAACAGTCAAAGAGAAATGCCATACTTTTCCTTCAATGAATTTGATTTACTTGGGAAAATAAACTTGAATCATTGCTGTGGCAGTTCCCAAGAATATAAGTAACCTTTCTACTTTTTAACATGAGGCCCATGGACCACAATGCTCACCTGAGTATCTATTGCCCTTCTTGTTCTTCAGCAGATTCTTTTTCCTTTATATTTCTATGTAAAACTTTGATCGCCCATTGTAGCCCCATCTAACCCCCAGGGGTAATAATTTAACAAACTTGAATCTACACTACCTGGGTATGCTTCCATGTAAATAAATGTATGTCTAATCAAGGCTGTCCTGTTCTTGAAAAGAATTTTAGAGATTTTTCATATGAATTCCAATTGCCCAGTGTAGCTCCACCCTACCCTCAAGAGTCATGATTAGAAGAAGCTTCAATTTGCACTATCTGAGGATTTTCCATATTAATATGACTTATTGTGATTTAGCTGTTTTTGAGAAGATATTTCCTGTTTTCCGACGTAATACTCTGCTTGCTCGTTGTTGACTCACCCTACCCCTGGGGGTCATCATTTGAACAAACTTGAATCTACTCTACCTGAGGATCTTTCCATATAAATACGATTGATCATGGCTATGCTGTTCCTCAGAAGAAGATTTTAAAAAGATTTTTCATATATAATCCCAAGTAAAACTTTATTTGCCCATAAAGGTCCCACTCTACCCTTGGTCATGATTTGAACAAATTTCAATCTACACTATGTCGGGAATCTTTCATGTAAGTTTCATTTTTTCTAGCGCAGTTGTTCTTGAGAAGATTTTAAAATGACCCCACCCAATTTTTACTATTTCTTAATTATCTCCCCATGGAAGAGGCTCTTCATTTGAACAAAATTAAATCCCCTTTACAAAAGGATACTCTAGGCCAAGTTTGGTTGAAATTATTCAGTGGTTCTGGAGAAGAAGATGAAATTGTAAAAAGTTAACGACGCTGACAATGACAGACAGTTTTAATCAGAAAAGTTCACTTCAGCGTTCGGCTCAGGTGAGTGAAAAAGTTTGTGCATTTAACATTTGTATATACCTTGGTTAGTCAAAGTTTTGTGCACAATAATTATATACCCCTAATTACACTTGTAGAAACTATGATCATAAATCCATTTTCACAGGTAATGTACATTTGAAATATGAAAGCTCTAACTTCTCTCATTTGAAAGTTATTACATGTACTGTACTACCTGTCAACTTCCTGTTTATACATGCGTCTGTCTGTACCAAATTTCCATCGCACTTTTCTCAGCAACTACTTATCGCAGATGCTTGAAACTTTAGCATACTCTTTGTTTAAGCATGCCAAATAGTGGGATTCATTTTTGTACAAATCCGATGTCAACTTCCTATTAATCTGAGTGATTGTCCGAAGCTGTCTGTCCGTAACAAATTTTCGTTGCAGTTTTCTCAGCAACTACTTTTTGCAGATGCTTGAAATTTTAGCACACTCTTTGTTTTGGCATGCCATTTGGTGGGATACATTTTTGTTCGAATCCGAAGACAAATCTCTGTTTATCCGTCCATCTGTCTGTACCAAATTTTATTGCAATTTTCTCAGCAACTACTCATTGTAGATGCTTGAAATTTTAGTACACTCTTTGTTTAGGGATGCCTATTGTGGGATTCATTCAAGTTTAGTAAGAATCCGATATAAACTTCCTGTTTATCCGTGCGTCTGTCCGTACCAAATTTCCGTTGTGGTTTTCTCAGCAACTACTCATTGCAGTTCACATGAGCATATATTTCCCACAGTCCCCCCGTTCGTTCCACACAAAAATACCCCACTATACATTATAAGAGAGATCTTATAATGTATAGTGGGGTATTTTTGTGTGGAACAGTCATTTTGGGGTTTTCACGATTTTTTCCTATGGTACACATGATGAATAAGAGCAATAAAAATAATTTGTGAAAAAATGTCCAACAAGCCCCGGGGTTGAATATCGGAAGGGGGGGGGGGGAATCCTATCCACAAGTACCTGTGGTTTAGACCTATAAATCACTTGTAGTACTAGTAAACCTTGTTTATACACAGGTGTGAATAAAGGCATATATGTCTGATATGTTGCACATGACTTGTTGGTAAATTATTAGCTGCAATAATGTAGCCCTCTCCGATTTTTTTTTTTTTTTTTTTGGGAGAGGGCTACAACTCCTTAGGATCTCCGTAATGGTGCAAGTGCGGGAGTGATTCACTACCGCACAGATTTCGGCTCAAATTATCAGTAAGTGGGTATTTTATTAACATATCCTACCTGAACTCATAAAATGTAGTTATGCAAGACATGAATTGATCCAAAAATATACAGAACAATCCGTATATCGGTTATTTTTCGTGTATGTCAACATCACAACTTGAATTTATCCGCCATGTTTACTGACCTTGATCGATTTTATTTTGGGACAACCAATGAGAATTCGGGATCTAGGGGAGCGGATCGTTTAGGATTTCCCTTATTTTAAGCATAAATATCACTGTTTATGAAAAAAAGATCACATGGGATGCTTTTATTTATTGATGTTTAGTGATATTATACAACACAAACATTTATTAACACCGACATTTACTTTATCAAGTGATTCTAAATTTCAAGCGCAAGTCTCCGTACATCACGCGAGAACTGTCATGGCTGCTGAAGAGAACGACTGGTAAACACGCAGATTTATTTTACTTGGTTTTCGCTTTTAAAGGGCTATGATGTTGATACTGAATAAAAATTCCGTCTTATTGGAAGTAAGTTGAATGCAAAAACAATTTATTTTGCCTGCAGTCGCCCGTATCTAAAAAATATATTTGCACCATTACGGAGATGCAGTGGAATTGTAGCCCTCTCCTGAAAATATCAGATTAAAAAAATCAGAGAGGGCTACATTATTGCAGCTAGTAAATTATCTGCATTTCAACCAAGCATTTTATTTGCCATAGTCATTTTCCTTTGAGAACTTTAATAAAAACAAAGCACTCATTTACAGTTAGTTAAAAACCCTGCTCAACAGAGGATTGCAATAAAAGAAAGCATTTTACATTTATGGTTATAACCACTTTCCATCCTTACTGCCTTTAAATGCTTTGTTTAAAGCATCTCATTTGAACTAGCTTTGTCTGTAACCTACTGGCATATACATCCAAAGTGAACAAGATTTTAATACATAAAAAAGATCCATAGTATTCATATTGCATAAATCCCATAAATTAACAATGCAAATTTACTACACAAAATATAAATCAAACCTCACAGAATATTGCTACAGTGTCAACACAGAACTTTGTTTCGGGGGTAATTCATTATTAATTGTTAATTAGTCCTTGATCTCCAAGTTGTTGTTCAAAAGTCTTCAGCTGGGCTTGAAACCCGGCATTAGGTCTGATCTTTGATCTTTTGTCTTTCACATATTGATAGGCTCTGTCCAAACTCCAGCACTGTGTCTTCATGAGGTAGGCTATGACAATTGTTGCTGATCTAGAAATTCCTGCATTACAGTGCACCAAGACACACCCTCCGCTGTTTTTCCCAGAGTCGATGAATTGAAAAGCTGATTCAAAATGTTGGGCTATATTTGTCTCAGGAATATCTAATAAGTCTATATTCTTATATGTAAAATGTTCTGGAAACGTATTTTTGACAAAAGTGGCTAGATTCAAAATATGTGTCACATTGTACTTTTGAAGCAAATTTAACTCTACTGCTACATCTTGTGAACCTGAAAGAAACAAATTTTAAATTAATGTTTTACATATTTCACCCTGTTCAGCAAAGGGCTGGTGGAGGGATCTGTTATATTTGAAAAGAGAAAACACCCCAAATGCATATGTAGGGGAAGCTGCAATCTTATTTTTATCAAACATAGCTTTAAAGTCCAGTTATAGAAAACTGTAATGGTTGTTTTATTTTTAGCTTACCTAAAATGAGATCTGGTAAAATTTCCCCGATCTGCAGATCTGCAAATGGATCAACAACAAAACCAGGAACTTTTCCATTCTTTTCAACATTCTTTCTTTCCGTCAACCCTTGTTCATTCTTGTATTCTACGAACTGATCGCCAGTTATGGTTGTTACTTTTGTTACAGTCTTTTTCAACGATGACTTGTCGAACGTATTTAAACTACTCAGCATCATTAATTTCAATTTGACTAAACTTCTGAGATAAAAAAAACAACAACAACACCTGTTTACTTCGGTACTTCGGTAAGTGTTTGTCCAGGTCACTATCTGACTATCACTATGCAAAGATCTTTCGAAAGATGTCGCAATATTATTTTGACAGGTGTGAAATCGGCCGAGGTTTACCGAAAGCTACTTTCAGTTTACTTATACCTTATTCTGTTTTCATAACAAAAGAGTTCCATTCAGATCTTGGGTAAGACATTCTTCTTTTCTTATTCAATGTGACCATAGATGTATAAGATCTATGATGTGACATAATCTTTTTGTAAATATTCAGTCAAATTTTGATGTTACCTTTTCTGCTTCATTGTTTGGGTCCATTCTATTTATCGAAAATTGAAACCCTTTCTCGTTTTTAGACAGCCCCAGAGTTTGCGTTTCCAATGTAAATAATACGCGGAAATTACGATCCCGATGTATTAACTCTATCATTTTTTTTTCAGTCTCTAACACAGACATAATGTATTACGATGGATATGACGAGGATGCCCTGGATGAAATTCTTCCAAGTCTTTTTATAAGTAAGAGGTTGTTTATCCACTTTATTCTTTAGTGAAGTTATTGTGGGATCATGTATGGTTTTCATTAAGCCCATTTCCTCTTTTTAAGGTGGATTTGTCCCTGCCAAAGATTTAGACCGATTAGAGAATCTAGGAATAACTCACATTGTTAACTTATCTTCTTATGAAAATAATTTTCATGGAAAATTCAAGTATCTCAGAATCCCAGTAGAAGATATTCCTTCGGAGGAAATTCATCCATACTTCGACGAATCTCTCAAGTTTATCGAAGAGGCTTTTACAGAGAATGGCCGAGTTCTCGTGAATTGTAATGCAGGACAATCTAGAGCAGGAACAATTATAATACTTTACATAATGAAAACGAAAGGCATGACCTTTGAAGATGCTCAAAAATTGGCACAGAGTAAGAGGAAATCTAATGAAATATGTCCAAATTCGGGATTTCGAAGACAGCTTATTGAGTATTTTGAAAAGTGATTCTGATCAGTCCTTTTGATAAAAACGATTCTTATACAATAAAGTATGGAACACCAAATTAACATATATTCAAATATTTGAACCTATCTTCAAATAATTGTACCTATCTTCAAATAATTGAACCTATCTCTAAATGAATTGAAGATAGGTACAATTGAATTAAAGATAGGTCTAAATGAATTAAAGATAGGTGTAAATAATTATACCTATCTTTAAATAATTACACCTATCTTCAATTCAATTAAGATAGGTTCAATTGAATTACACCTATCTTCAATTCAATTAAAGATAGGTTCAATTGAATTATACCTATCTTCAATTCATTTGAAGATAGGTACAATTGATTTGAAGATAGATACAATTGATTTAAAGATAGGTACAATTGAAACATATCAACAAAGGATTTGAAGATAGGTACAATTCAATTATACCTAGGTTCAATTCTTTTTCTGTTATTGAAAATAATGAAAGCTCCTTCTAACAGCAACTTGAACAAGGAGGGAACTGCGCAAAGCATTTTATAGGGAGTAGTTGTTATTGCCAGTGTCTTTATAATTAAAGATAGGTTCAATTCAATTGCACCTATCTTTAAATCAATTATACCTATCTTTAATTCATTGCATTTGTACCTATCTTCAAATCAGTTGTACTTATCTTCAAATCAATTGTACCTATCTTCAAAGCAATTGTACCTATCTTCAAATGAATTAAAGATAGGTAAAATTGAATTAAACCTATCTTTAATTTATTTGAAGATAGGTACAGTTGATTTGAAGATAGGTACAACTGATTTGAAGACTTTTTTTTTCAATTCATTTTATTGACAATTACCATGTCGGCATACAGTCATGACATAAAACAAATTAACAAGAACAATACATACATATACAAAGTGACAAATGTGAGTTGAACAAAATAATGTAGAGTATATTCACATATTTCTAAGTATTCATTGCTGACTTTCTTTTCTGGTGTCAAAGCACTTTTTCAAAAAACAACATATCCTTCTAGCAGTTGTAATATTTGTAGGATTGACAATTTTTCTAATGGGATTATCACTAGTATATGTGTTTACATTAAATATATCAGTATAATTGCATCTAAATTGGTCGTACTTTGAACAGTATAGAACAAAATGTTTTTCATCTTCAATAAATAATTTACATGAATAGCATAAACGTTTTTCACTAGGAATATATTTAATTAGTTTATTCAGGATATAACTTTGGGCAATACCGCCCATCAGTTTACAAAAATAACATATAATAAGATATATTACAAAATTTAAGACTCTCAGTGAGCCTAAATAGGGGGGTGAAACCCCTGGTCAAGTGTTCCACAGTCCCACAGTTCCCCTCATTAAGGTCTTCCGCTCCAGGCGGAAGACCTTCTACTGATTCTGATGGTTAAGATTATTCTTATTATTCTTTTTTTTTTTTTCCTAGACGCCAACTTTGAGACCTCATATCTTGCTCATTTCTCAACGGATTTTGCTCAAATTTGCAGGGTTTAAAGACGTTACAAAATTCTATCAGAATGCTGTCAAACATTTCAAAAACCCACTTCCGCTTTTCGGTTATCTCCCTTTAAATGAAAATTTAGGGGGCTTCGTTTCCAGACAAAGGCTCAGAGACTACTGAAGCTGGAGTAGAAATTCTACCGAATTTAAATAATAGAAGCACTGAAGTTGTGCACATCGGTTTTTGTTTTTCAATTTCTGTATTCAAAATGGCGCTAGAGAGGGGTCAAAAATTAGAACGCCAAAAAGAGCGAAAATTTACACATATTTTCCTTTTTATCTTCTAAACTAAAAATATTTTGATAAGACATGTAGAATAAAAGTTGTGCACAATTTTAAGGCCTTTCATTTGAGACCACTAAAAAGGGTCTGGCCCCTAAAATTAGGGATCTGGGGCCCTGTAAAGTTTTTGCTTTATAACTCAAAAACGGTAAATATTTCGAAATAGCTGCCGTAATTAAAGTTGTTATTTAACATCTTATTGATCTCAAGAAAATGTTATTTTGTTTGAGTCTTGTGTTCTAAATGAGCTAGAAGCATAACACATATACAGGTAAGTGTTTTCATTCAGCAAGTAAACAAGAGCTCTTCATGCGTGTAATTAAAATAAACTTACTATAAATAATAAACCTTGCTATATTAGATGCTAATATTCTTTATAATCAGGTTTTTGAAGTATTTTGTGCTTTATTTCCAAATTATTTACTGACAACTTTCCCTTTTATTTCGTTTGTTTTCAAATTTGGATAAACCAGTCTACTAAACAGGGAAAAAAAGATAACCTTTTCTTCTTATCATATAAAAACAAACAATAAAGTTAGAAAATAAAACAAAACTTTAAACATAGACTATTCACAGCCATTAAGTACACGCCTTTTACATTCACCTCGTGTGTTTACAATTATGTAACCCCTCCCTCGATAGCGCGTGGCAAAGGAGGTCACCGAGGATCAATCGACCAGCGACCTAAGGTCATACACAAAACAAACCATAGAATGGCCATTCCAAATACATTTTACCTAAGTGATGAGTGGATAAATATGTTGAATCTTTCAGATTATTTCATATCTTTGATTAAGTCGCTAGTACATTTCGATTTATATTTTATTCGCTCAATTACAAGAAAGTTGCATATTTATTCTTATAAACATTGCATTGTTGAGATAATTGCGCTTTTGTGGAAAATTACTTTAAAATCATTTCGAATCTTTCATATGATTCCGTCTTACTGTTTAATTATCACTCGCTCGTTTTAATCAGCTAGTCTTAACTGCCTTTCACTTATTCACTTCAAATTCAATGCATTTTGAATGCCGAAAAGACCACTTTGTTTGCGTATTAAAGAAACAGTTTATTTATCTCTCTAATGTTATTATTTAACGAGTTGCTATTTCTTTCATGAACATTAAACAGGATGTATATAATTAAAAATGATAATTGTATGTAGAGGTCACATTTTTAATTGTCAGGAAAATCGAAAATAAAATTAAGTACTTTTGAGTTTGTATTATTTTCTTCCTAACTTACAATATTATTGCATACAAAATACTAAGTCGGATGCATGTAACTTAACCGCCTCAATATTTCACTTGTATTTGAAAATTCTATCGAGCGTCGAATGAATTTTACCCGTTAAAAAGTGTACCAAAAAAGAACCCTTCCTATGCAGTTTTCTTTGGGAATCAATTGGCTTAGATAGTCTACTCCGACATGTGTTGACAAAACTCACGCAATGAGAAGCCATACATTTCAAACTTGTGACCTCTTGGTCAGTGCATGTGAAGATTACACATGGCAATTAGTGTCTGGAAAACGAAGTATGTTTTATAAGTTATTTGACAGGTTAAGATTTGTTCTCATTCCAAATTAAATACAAACACAAACCCTTTATTTTCTTTGTTATTTTATACCGTCAGTTATATCAGATAGATTGTTTTAAAAACGTGTTGTTTAGGAAGATTAATCTTATGCATTTGTTTTATTTCATCTAATAAATTGAATTTACCCATAACACAAATTATTGGTACATGCATGTAAGTACGCGTAAATGCGATTTAATTTGTTTATGCGGAAGAGCGCCCAAAATAAATACACTTCGAACTCTGGAATTTCCCTATTTTACTGTTTAAATCATAGGTCCACTCAGCTGACGAGTTGTTTTAATAACGGTAATAAATTATATTCAAGTCCTGGCCAGCGATCGTTACGGTTGGTGACATTGCAATTAAACAGGTCGATACTAAGGTACTAAGATACTAATGGGTGTATATATTTTCACCTAATATGTTTTCATTGAGTGTTTTCATAAGAAGTAAATTGCTGGAGGATATCATGTTCTCCCTGATCACATCGATAGCGTGTAGAAACAGCGGTATATGAACACACGCTTTTGTGTACAAAACAAACGTGTAAACCAAAAGGATGGGGAAAAAAACGACGAAATAAAAACTTTTCTCTATTAACTGAAATTATTGTCTTTAGAGAGATAAAAATAAATGATTATCCGCCTGAGAACATGTGAAAATTATACCCAAATACAATGAAACGAAGGATTTTGGGTTTAATCCCGAGTACACAATTATAGCAATGATGTGTACATGTACATGCAGAATACCTCTTTTTTTATCCTTCGTCCATGTGTTCCTCCTTAACGGAAAAAAATATCAGTAAATTATATTATACCGAACGAGGTTGAAAAATGCCGAACTTTATTTCTTAAAATTAAAAGCAATTATCCGACTTTTCTCATATCACTGTAAAAATGCCGTAAAAACTAAAACCGTCTGGTTTGACTTTGTCAACGCGTTTTAGATCGGGTTTGAGATTTTTATTAAATGTCTGAAGTATTTCGCTTATTCTGCAAGTCCGTATAATGAAAGAAAACACTGACAGATTTAGAGGAGGTTCAGGGGGCCTGCCCCAACTGGCGGATTTAAGTGGGGCTTGGGGGCGCACCCCCCCCTAAAATTTTCAAAATATGACATGACTAATATTAATAATGCCATACTTTGGTTTTATAATTAATGGTCAATTAAAAAATGGTAATTTTATTTTATGACCAAGTATCAGTTTTCTTAAAAATCAAGTCTGAAAACCTTGCATTCCCTAGGCTATGAATATTATCTCATAATTATTCAAAGCGGAAAACGTCTCCCGATTTCGTTTGAAGGGTAGACAGCACTTGTCAATTTCCTATGATGATGCAAAGAAAAATACTGCTGGTCGAAGGTAAATAACATTCGGCAAACCTCGGCTGATTCCGTCACCTTCATCCAGATGAGGTACGAATCGGCCGAGGTGTGCCGAGTGAGGTAAATAAATGAATTTAAAATCAGAAGGTCTACGTTACAAACCTATCCACTGATTGATGTATTTATTTATCAAATGGTGTAACTATGCAATAATTTACTTACATAGATACAGATACAAGACTTTTTTTAACGTCAGGATATAGGTTAGGATGGTCACAGACGAGTGTAACTTCGACCACCTGGTTAATTTCGACTCTTCATAAATACCTTTAAAAAATTTGTTTATAACCCATTATAGTGTACACACATCTATTTTATGCAGAAAGAAAATGCATTTTTCATAT